TCTCCACTTCCTCCTTACAGCCACGCGATCAAACCTCCAGTTTGCACGCTGCGGTTTGTGTTATATATTCATGCTGCATATCAATCCATGTGGTGCTGATAAGATGCAGTATTGATACTTTGCAGTGACATCAAACTGGGGGTGTTCTACATGTCTGTGCATTGGCGAAATGTTCACCATGGAGACAGGATGCAAACATTAGCAAACACTGACAAATAAGATGGTCTGAAAGCTCAAGAAGAAATACAAAATGGATTTAAACAACACATTTTAAGGAGCCTTTGAGCAATACAAATGTTCATGATTCTGTTTAAGTATTTGATTTTTAACAAAAATCAAAAAAAGTGTGCTAATTCTAGCTAGCTAGCACAAATCATCTCACTTTTTTAGTTTAAAGTGTAACTTGAGCAAAAGAGCTTAAGACAGGGTAGTGCTTACAGTTAGCATCACACTAACCCGGGAATGTTGATGACATTTCAAGATACATGATACTGCAAAGTATCAATGCTAATTTTTAATCGAGAGATTTTGAAAAGCCTTTTTAATAGGCTATTTGCGGTGCATGTGTTTATTATGACTTCTGCTTTGGTCTGGGTGTTAGCAAATGACGCAGTGACATGCATATTACCCTAAATTATAGCTTATAAAAATTATATGACTTTTTTGGTAATAAATTCACAGTGTAATAAAATAATGCATTAAAATAAATCCTGTGAGGGTGCTTCAGTTCCTTCAGAGGTGGTTACAGAGTACAGAAAATAATTTGGGCAGTATTTTAGGTTCTTCCTTATTAATAACTGACAGGTGAGGGGGAAAAGATGTCTGACATTTGCTTTAAAGTAGACATATTTTTAATTCTAATATAGTCCTTTCTATGTTACTTTACTTGTATTTTTATAGTTTGTAAGAGAAAGCTATGGTAGCTATGTCTTGTGTTGTCCTTTTACGGTCCACAACATTAATGGCTGAAATGATTGAAACAAGCTCTGGTTATAGAAATATCATAGCTTGATTTGGACCTATTATATTATTATAATTACCTATCATAATTATTTGGGAGAATTAGGCTATGCTACAACTAAACTAACTAAAAAACTAAACTAACTAATTAAAAATACAACATTCAATTTAAGAGAAATATACAACAAGAGAATTTGATGACTAATAGTGTGCAGGAAATCAGAAGGTTGTGCAGCAGGAAATGGGCAAGATTGGCACAACCACAACCAAAAGTTTCACAACTGTAACTATAGAAACCACAGATAAACAATGCACACAAAAACTATAATTACTACTGTCATTATAGTAAGTGGACATGGGCAGAAATGGAAGCAGCCTAATGCCCTTGTAACACGGGGGGACCTGATGGACACCAACACAGACTCCCACTATTGATCTATTCATTTTGCAGAGGCAGCAGAGGTGTCAGGTTTAGGCCCATTGTCAGTCCATTCATGAAAATGCTGCTGTTGTGACATGTGATTAAGTTTCTTAACGTTCGCTAACATGCTTTAGAAGAAAGGAGCAAATGACCACTTAGTGTAATCTAACATGAATGTAGAAGTCTTAAGATGGTGATAGTTAAATAATAGTCCAAAAATGTGTCCAGAAAAGGAATGGAAGGGCTTATGGTAAATTGTATTACTCTATACAGTATGCCCAAACAATACAGTGACTCTGGTGGTCACAAGATATGGGTATTCATTCTCTTATTACTGTAAATGTGATTAAGGGGAAGGTTGAAGATGATGAAACTCCTCACCTAATTTACTTCAGACAATTATAACTATATCCAATTTACAGAATCAGACTTTCAGTTGAGCGAGGTTGAATTGTTAAAGATGTGTAGACTAGATACATTACATGCCACAAGGAAATGATGTCAGTATTTTCTGTGACATAACTTAGAGAACACAAATCTCAAAAGGCATAACATTTCCTACATTACAAAGTTGACCTAATAAGATTGTGCAAACATCATTATTGAAATGTTAATTTGGACCAACACTTCTTCTTAGTTAACTATTCAATACAAGGTGACTTTTGCTGTATTTGATCTTCATCAAGACATTGGTGAGGTTTTGATGAAATGATAAGGAAGTGCAAACAGAATCTTATAACTACACCTTTGTGACATATAGTTGGTTGCCTGACTGTAAATCTTCATTTTCTACTAAATGCATGCACAGTATAGATGTCCCTAAGAGCTGTGAGTCCTGTCACAGAAGGTGGAGAATGCACAGAAAGCCAGGCCAGTCATTGAATCAGCACAACATCACAGCATCAGCAGCAGAGGGAGAGGAAGACACTTACCCTGCAGTTTCTGCATCACATTTGCGATGTCCACAGATCGAGCATACTGCCTGAGAGAAGAGGCCATGTTGTCTAAATGCTGCTGCGTGACAGACAGTGATGCTGGGAGCTAGTTTCTTCACTAGTGTCTCATGCGGGACATCCCCTCGGCCGCCCCCCTCGGCCCCTCCCACTCACACGTCTCTCTGTGTAAGTGCACCGCAGAATGGGCTCAACTCAAGCTCCAGTTTCAATGTAGTCTCCAGCCTCCTGAGTCCAGTGGTCTTTTTAACTCACTGCCTGTAAAACAAAAGTAACACATGGTAAGTGTCAAAGCCACACCTCTACTAGCAATAATTTAACACGGGTTTGCTCATTGTTTTTTCATTAAATATTTATTTTAGATAGTATACTTTTATTCGAGATTTTTTTTTTCTAAATGACACATAATTCATTCATAATTCATATTCCCTTGCTTAGGCCACAAATGATGGAGTTCAGCACACAGACAATTTAATCATTAAAATTAATAAGTTAACAGATGAGAAACAAGTGAAATAATGACAGACATAATATTCTAGCCTAATGCATATATAAGCATATAAGTAAGTTCCGTCCTTTGAGCGAATTTTGTGCAATTATAGGAAGTACTGAACTATGGCACATTGTGGTACACTGAATGAAATAGGGAAGTTAATGTGGAGTGATCTAGTAGTTTAGTTTACAGATTAGTTACGTTTGGCTATAATTCTATAACATCAAATAGATTGGCGACATTTTAAGTAAATATATCTGTTGTTAGTGCACGCGTAGATGGTGGATAAAATCTCAAAAACGTGAAAACACGACAGGAAGTTAGAACAGAAATTAGGCACACTACACTGAAAGTACCCTAAATATGCGCTTACCATAACGGTGCCCTCTTTGGTTACAGTCCTCTCTCGGTTGCAGATGACATTTTGCTGCCGCTTTCAGGCACACTTCATGTTAACTTCAGCACTGAGCACCGGAAGCGGCCGTGTGTTGCCTGGTTGCTAGTGGTTACGCTGCCAAATGAAATGTGAAAAAGAGACGCACGCGGCAAACCCCAAAACAGAAGAGGAGCAGGGGGCGGAGACGTGTGCGCGCGGTGAGGCTCGTCCTACTAATTTTACTGTCAAAGGAGCTCATTATATTTGGTTCAATGGAAAGGAATTCTCTGTCTCTCTCGCACATTCTTGTTTTTTAATTTTGTTCATGTAACTAGTGTATCGCTAATTACACACAATTTTTACACAAAGAAACTAGAAAACTAGCACATGACCACACCGCCATCAATCAAAAAGGATCTGAACCAAACTAGCAGGTAGAGAAAAATATACATTGGCGCCATCTGCTGGATAACAGCGTTTGCACAACAGAAGATCTCTTAATACATTTACATCAGGCTTTTTATTAGTATGATGATCTGCTTTGTCAAGGCAGTGCTCACATTTCCCGCAAACATTGTCAATGATTTGTATGTAACAAAAATAATACATGGCAATTTTATTTTGCATTTGGACTAATAGTCTCATTTTGACTATGCTGCACATTACATTTTTATAGTAACGGGCAAAGGAGAAATTCAAGTGTTTTTTGTTTGTTTGTTTGTTTGTTTTTTTGTCCAGTTGACAAATTGAATTTCTTCTTTCCCATTCTAACTGGATGACTGAGGGATTTTATATACATTTTTATAGCAACCCATATAGTTCCCATCTGAGACCTTATAGTTAAAACTCAGAGCTGTTAGAAATTACAATGCCATCCATTATGTAATGACAGTCAGTGGAATAACATCTTAAACAGGCACTTTGTAACTTTTCTGGTGGAGGGGTTCAGAACAAGGTTGTTATGGAGAGCATTATGGAGTCACTTTAACTATAATGTTCCATAGTATGGCATTAAGCCTATCTATCTCCATGGCCCTTTCATTGTAGACTGCAAGTTTTTTAAAGATTTGTTACCAATAATTATGCCTGTAATTGAATAAATGCAAGACCGATTTAATGACTGTCCAGTAGACAAGTTACATTGTGCACCATTATGCGGAGGTAACACAGGTCCTGTAAGTCCAAACACTGCACCAGTGAGAACACAGCAACAATTGAAGGAAATCCCCATTGAGACTAGAGGCTCAAAACCCAACACTCTCTTGTACACCACTTTTCACATGTTAGTTTATCCAGATCTCACTAGAGGTTCATACGTCAACGGAAGTAGATATAGATATTTTTTTGGCATTTCAACTTGCATCTCTGTTTAGAATAGGTGGATGCACTACTCAGTGGCTCTCACTCTGGCACTGATTTAGTTTTTGTTTATACACTGCATGGGTATTTTTGGTTCTATCTAGCTTTTGTTTTGCTATAGATCTTATTTTGTTCATGTTTCATAATATTTGTATGAATTGCTTCAAACCTTGATTAACCCAATATTTAGGTGCATTATTGTTTGACTAATGAGCTACTGTGAAAGCTTGTTATTTCCTGTGGGGATGGAGTGAAAAGTTTGGGATTATTAAATCTATATATCAGATATTTATTAGGCTTGGTAAAACTGCTGAATATATGGCCTGGAGGAAATGATGCAAAAGGAAGCCCCAGTGTTTGCCAGTACTATGTCCCACACAGATAAGCAATGCACTTGCTAATTTTAAAGCCAGAGAGGGAAGGAAGCGTGACAGCAAAGTTTCCTCTATGGCAAGGTCTGCAGAGGAGAAAAACCCCAGAAGCTTGTCTTGGAAAAAGTTAGTCTCGATCCGTCTGCCTTGAGTCTGTTTGGAGTCGGTGGATATTTTAAACCATTTTATGGAGGAACTATGGCACACAATGACACTCATCCACTTTGGGAGATATTTAATTCATTTAATCGCAGTAAGTTTGTTATTATTATTGTTAGCATTGTTTTATGCAACAGTAACTTGTACACATTACACATTGGCTGTACTTTTGTACTAAGTCAAGTTAGATTATTTGAATCTTATTTCTATCTCATCTGTAAAACAGCTAATTTAATAGTCTCTGTTATTTCTGCAGTTTTGTCCAAGTGTACCTCAGTGAACCCACACAGTCGACATGACATAAAGCTTTATGTAACAATGAGCCTGTTATAGAAACTCGTCTACAAGAAATCAATAGCTCAGAGCTAACTTTAACACATCTGAAAGAGTTTTTTTCCATGTTGAAGCCTAAAGACACATTTGTTGTTGGTCCAAATAGAGGCTTATTGTTGTGCAGGGAGCAGATGAAAGAGGCATCTGGAATATGAGGCTGCCTTCAGCAGCACATATAACCCATGGGATATATTTGGCTCTTCATTTTAAGTATAAAAATGCCCAGCCTTTATGTTTGTGTAGCAGTACATCACTTTCCAAACAGTTGATGGTTCAAGTCCTGCTGCTGGAAGACACATTTAAGAGTTATAGGTGGTGGTTGAAGAGACAGTTGCCTTCTCTGTCAGTATTTAGGAAAAGTATGGCTACAGAAGTAGCTTATCATCACAAAGTGCCAAGAGTGAAAAATTATAATAATAAGGCTGGTGTATTGTTATTTTCTTTTTCTTTTAGGTGATGTGCTGCTGGCCTTTTGCCTATCAATGCTGGTAGGACTACTCCTTGGTGCCTTGGTGTATGTCCTGCTGACATGGGCATCTCGTCGAAAAGCCACAGCGAAAATTACTCGGCGACGTAAAAAGAAGTCTGGTTCTTCCTCACATTCGTCCCACCCCATGAGCTCTCAGATGGGTCTCTACAGAAGCACCTTTCTCAGTGTGTACAGGCAGCCCTCTCTGGAACCTGTGGGTCCTCTGGGGTCTAAACCCAGTCCAGAAACCTCCACATTCAGGCCTCTGCCCAAGAAGAACCGTCCAAGTCTGGACATGGGGGAGGACACTAAAGTGCTGGAGGACATGGCGTCCAACTCAGACTCCTCTTCTCCGGTCCCAAACAAGAGACACTCTTTTTGGCTGGGCAGTAATGGACTCAAAGGATTCTTCCCTTTACAGTCGTCCCCACCTGCTTATGACAGTGTGATCCATGCCTTTGAAGAGACTTGCACTTAATATGCTCTTTCAAGATAGATTATTACGGGTAGAGCTGGGCTTCTTAATTACAAGAGGATACTCTTTCAGCTTACGATGGTTCACACTATTTGAAAAACCAAAGCAAGCACTTGTGCTCTGTTGTCACACACAGCATTAAAATAACACACAAAAAACTATTTTCTGATCAATTGTTAATCGGATCCACATTTTGCATTTTATCACCTTTAATAACTGACTAGCAGTGAAATGTATCAAGGCTTTCGAAACTTGGGTTTGAAATGGACCAGTACAATTCTTGCCAAATTAGATGTTGGAGCTGGTACAATGGACACTTTCGTACCATTTTGTATGGAATATGTACATAATATAAATAACTATATAATATATGAATAAATGTAACCTGCTCAACATTTTCGTTCCATCACTTAATAGCCCATTTCATAGTATTTAAATCATGTGACAATTTGCATAATTACCTTGGCATGTAGGCCTATAGCCAATTATGGCACAGAATGATACCATAGGTCTCTCATCCATCACATCAAGGTCTTATGTGAGCGAGAGAGAGAGGGTCACTAACTTGTTCTCTAACCCGGGGTGTGCTTGTGAGGTTGCCAGTATCAAAGAAAGCCCCTTTGAGGTTCAGCTTTATTGATTATTTACTAAGCGGTTAGAGGCCAGTCAAATCATCCCATTATTATAAGTGGACCCTAGAGACATCCCTGTGAGACCTATCATCCAATTTAATTTGATGGTGCTTTTATCTTTTGCATTTAAACTCTCGGTAACTGTATCCTGCTACCTCGCTTATGGCAACCCGTTTTTAAAGACACACGCTCAAAGTGCGCCAGCGGACAAGCGCCTGGCAACACGACCGCACCGTTTACGCACTGCCACCTCGGATTGACGTGAGGGCTCTAGCGCGGTCAGGTACGTAGCCTCTGTCACATTTAAGCGTCAAAATGATATATTAAGTTAAACGCCGGGTTTATTTTCATTACTGTTGTGTTTTTGTCTCGTCAGCAGCTGTGTCTCAAACGAATTGCTGCATGCGGGTATACCGATGCAGAAAAATCATTACAGAAAGATCTAAAACGAATTTATATTTTTTCTGCCTTTAAGCACACACTGTCAGTTATGCTTAATGTAGTTCCTCTGTATAGGCTTATTATTATAGTCAATGCTTTTCGAGTTCATAGACCGCGTTTCTTTGACGTAAAACAAGCGCGCACGTACGGCTTTGAGTGCCATGGAGACTGGAGAGGCTGCCCGGATCTCCAATGCAGCACTGCTTTCGTTGCATAGGAACTGATAGGGGAAAACTGCGAATTTCAAGGTTGATGCACTGAATGACAACGATGCTATTTTAAGAGAAATCCAGTCCTTGTCTCTGTCTTGTTGGTCTGGTTACTTGTTGAATAATGGTCTGTCTTAAACGGCAGGGACAACGAGAAGACATGGGATGGGCGTCGTAGAAGTCGTTTCAACTCTTCTGTTGGTCTAATGCAGAGTTGCTGAAGACATCTGGCGCTTATGATGCATTGTACCTCTTCTTCTCCATAGACCTCCATTTAAACCGCAAAGACACGCACAGCAGCCATTATTAGCCTCAGTGCACTCTCTGAATGGAAATATGGACACCCTCAAACAAGGATTTTTGACTCAACATGCCCAGGAACTATGAGGTAGGCCCAAGAGCATTCAAACATCCGTCCTATTTTAATATCTTTCTGAAGCATTATTCATTTTAACTTGTTCACTGACTTGAATATAGAATTTTTTTTTTTTAAAGACTTGAAGCTTATAGGCCTCTATAGTCCTGGATTAGTCATAATAATAATAATAATAATAATAATAATAATAATAATAATAATAATAATAATTTATGTAATAGCTGTGTTATATTTTTTGAAAATGGTTGGCTTACATGACTTAAGGTAGTTCAGTCAGTTAACAGTCCATAAATGGCCCAACGATTGTATATGTCCCTACTTAGTTATAGAAATGTAGGACTAATTTTGTTTGCAGTCTGTTGGTTTTGGTTTTTGATTGGCGATTGACGAATGACGATTCCACACCCTTGTTCCTTGTAGTTAATGACTGTAAAATGGCTGTAGGCTGATGTCCATTCTGAGCTGTAGTTTGTGAATCAGTGCACATTGAGACAGACTGTAGTGGTGTGATGTGGAGTTCTGGATCTCCTCCACACACAGTGAATAATAGAAAACTGTGAGGACACCGGGATCTAAGGCTTTTCATGATTCAGAGGTACAAATGGAGTCATGTCTCATCTGAATGAACATGTAAGACACTAAAATAACATAGTAATTGTGAACCTGTACTAGATGAATCATACATCTAATCTCATACTTAAAACATATTGTCCTCCTATATCAGATGAACAGGCATTCCTGAATGAGATGCCTTGTACAGAGCATAGACCATAGAGATGACAGAAAGGAGGCCCAGAGAAAGAGGAAATTCTCAAAATTGTGCTCAAAATTAGTGAAATAGTAGGTGTGAGAGAAGGATATGCAGTTGGTAGAGTTTGTTGGAAGATAATTCACTGTGTGACTGACCCTGAAGCAAATCTTTATTATTGAGCTGTCTCTACCCTCCCTGCCCCTCAGCCTGGTCAGTCAGTAGGGATGTTGGCTGCCGTGGAACATGGTCCGATCCTCTGCAGTGACTCCAACATCCTGTGCCTGTCGTGGAAAGGTCGTGTTCCCAAGAGCGAGAAAGACAAGCCCGTGTGCCGCCGGAGGTACTATGAGGAGGGCTGGCTGGCCACCGGGAACGGGAGAGGAGTCGTGGGTGTTACCTTCACCTCCAGCCACTGCAGGCGGGACAGGAGCACCCCTCAGAGGATCAACTTCAACCTACGTGGACACAATAGTGAAGTAAGTCTTTATACGTTTTTCAAGACACTTGGACAATGCAGAGGAGAATGACATTTTCATTACATTTACAATAAAAAAACATCTCTCATTCAGGTTGAGAGTCTCGCTTTCAATCAAATCTAATCTTATTCTTACATCTTGTCACCTTACATTAAAGGTGCTCTGTGTAACTTTTCTGATGGGGGATCAGCCACCTGCTTTTCATTGATTGTGCCTGGACTATTTCACAGTATGGCAATAAATCTTGTATTTATTGAGTTACTCTTGAATTACTCTTGTTGTGTGTAATTGTGAGAAGTATCACCTCTACACAGATTTAACCTGTAACGTGACCTGGTGGTGCCACTAAATGTCTCCATGGAAGTCCAAGTTTAATGCCATTCCAAAGCAATATTATCTCCATGGAAACAACCCAACATTTTACACATTCACATTTTAGAATATAACAGTCCAAGTGCTGTATTTAATATGTGTATCCTATAACTGATGCTGCTATCTTGTAAAATTAAGTGTAACAAAGTTACACAATCATTAACAGTGAATTAATAAAAGGATTCAACTCTTTCAACACCATTTAGTGTCCATATGTTGAGACATGTGGTGCTAAAGTCATCACAACAACATTTTCATACATAATGTTTTAGAGCGTTTAGATTGTATGCTGGACGGTATGAGCACACTGTATATCAGGTACACAAAATGATTAATTTTGTTCTAACTACACCTGAACATAACCCTTCTGTGTTTTGTATAAATGATTAACTCCACAATAATGTATGTTGTCTCCCAGGTTGTCTTGGTGCGCTGGAATGAACCCTTTCAAAAGCTGGCCACATGTGACATGGAAGGAGGAATCTTTGTGTGGATACAGTACGAGGGCAGATGGTCTGTGGAGCTGGTGAATGACAGAGGAGCACAGGTAGACTTTGTCAATGTGAGGGATGGGAAGAGACACAACTTACACAAGATGCACTAGGGTTTACGGGAATGAGAAGTGACAGAATTTTAACAATTTTCAAAAATCTATTTAAATGTATCATTTTTGTAGGGGCATTACACTTCAGTGGGGTATTAATGGTTAACACATGACCCATTTAGATCTTTGTTATCTTTTATCCTTTTGACAAACCATGTATTTAAATAAAATGTGTTTCAGTTTATTTTTTTGATAAGTCAGAGTTTATATATTAATATAGCCTAGACTAGACGATATTAAATGAGACCAATTCTATAGTATTAGTCCTCACATTCACTCAAAAATAATATGGAGCTGTAAATAGCTTATGTGCTCACCTTATGTGAAGTGGATGTAATTAGACAATATTGTCCTCTACCTATATTTGGTGTTTTATTTTAAGCATGGAAGCTAAAATTATAAGGTAGGTGAACTCAAAAGATATGATATTTGAAGAGAGATTTTCAAGACTGACTGAAGTGGCTATTCAGTCTATTTTTGTACCTATTGTAGTTATTCAAAGTATGACCCAGTTGTATCTGAAAAGGAATGTAATTAAGTTAGAAGAACACCATGTAATGATGAGAACCAAACCTATTTTTAAACTTATATTTCACCCGTGTAAGGCACATTTCTCCATGGGGATGTTACTTCTCTTACCAATACCTGGTGTTAATACGGTTTCCCCTGAGAAAACAATGAATTGGATCTTGGATTGGTGTTTGTCTACATATAATGCCATACTGTGCAACAATCCAAGTGGAGTAACATGTCCATGGAGACAAGCAGGCTTACCATCCAGTAGAAAAGGTACATAGTACATATTTAAATCCATAAAAAATATTCTTTAGTAACTAAACCAATTAAAAGTAAAAGGTTATATATTACACAAAATTGACTGTTTATGCCACATTAGAATCATATTTCTTCATCAAAAAAATACCCAGAGTTTTATTTTGTTTCATTCACACATGTTTTAGTAATGTTTTATTAATCTGTCTACATCTCCAAGTCTTAAAATGTGCTGCTCTACATTTTACCTTTAATTCAGCAATAGTGCAATACTGCAATAGTTGAAAGACACTAAACAAACATGATGACCTTTTCTTCCTGGCAGGTGAGCGACTTCACCTGGTCACATGACGGGACTCAGGCTTTGATCGCTTACAGAGATGGTTTCGTCTTGGTGGGCTCTGTCAGTGGGCAGAGACACTGGTCCTCTGAGATCAACTTAGAAAGTCAAATCACTTGTGGCATATGGACCCCAGATGATCAGCAGGTACTAAATATGCCTAGTTTCTAATATAAACATCATCCTAGTTTTTAATGCAAATTTTCTAGTCAACAACAGCTTGGATAATTATTACTCCAGAGGGTGTTCATTAAGTCTTTAGAGTAACATTTTATGGCTGGTTTTGCGCAGGTGTTGTTTGGTACAGCAGATGGCCAGGTGATCGTGATGGACTGTCATGGCCGTATGTTGGCTCATGTTTTGCTGCACGAGTCGGACGGGATCGTGAGCATGTCCTGGAACTGCCCTGATTTCCTGGTGGAGGACAGCACTGAGAGTGACACTGACTCAGATGAAAATGTTCTGCCTATAGGTACAAACACAGACAAGGGAAGCACTTAAGCTGTATTTATTTCTATGAAATTGGTTGCTGTATCAAACTATTATTGATTGGTTCACCACCAACTTGACGATACAAGCTGGCATGAATCATCATTAAGAAATAACATGACCCATCATCAAAAAGTGTGACATAAATTACATGACATATTTTATAAAAACAAGCACATTCTCGGGTGTTACATGTAAATAACACCTCTATCATACAAATTAGGCCTTTGCCACTGACAGTGAAGTGAATGGCAGGTTACTTTCTCATTATAGCACAGATATTTATACTAATATACTTATACTAAATTATGTCTAAAGTTGATGATTAAAATTAGGGAAAAGTGATTTGATGATTTATGACAAGGGACAAAACTGTAATGGTCAAAATCAGTATGTTCATTGCCTTCCTCAATAATGAAGGAATAATGGTGAACTGGCACATGAGTGTTGGCATTACAAATTCCTTACCAACCAACCAAGTTTATTATTTCACATGGCTAGCTAATTTAGCCTTGATAAAACAGTGTAAAAATGTATTGAAACATCTCTGATTATTTTCTATTTTTTACAGTGCGAAGAGTCAAACCTTTGTTAACCGTCACCTTTTTATCTGGAGACATTAGTTTAATGAACAACTATGATGACCTATCCCCTGCTGTCATCCGCTCTGGATTAAAAGGTAGGTGTCACTTTAAAAACTGTAAAATTTTCCCTTTAAAGATAACCCCATAATGTAATGTATTATGTGTGTGCAGATGTAGAGGCCCAGTGGTGCTCTCAGGGGGACCTCTTGGCTGTGGCTGGGATGGAGAGACATGTCCCGTCAGATACAGCATGTGCAGCCATCATGAGGAACGCTCTGGTCAAGTTCTACAATGTCCAAGGAGAACACATCTACACTCTGGAGACACCTGCACAGGCAAAAGCTCTTCTGTCAATCTAATTTTTCATTCATTTTGATGGGATGACGTGTATAGTGTACTGGAGATATTAGTAAATTAAAAATAAAGTAATAAATAAGTATAAATAGAATATGTAAATTTGTGAATAAATAACAAATATATATATGCCTTAACTACAATCTAAGGCAGTTACTATAAAAATGATAGCCTGATTCATCATCCGGTTTCACTTCGTGGAAACCATTAGAAAGCATTAGAAATCGTTCGCTCTTAACCAGTTGCTGCTATATGGTCGTGACGTATGTGACGCCACTAATTGGGCTAACTGGTAACTGGTAGCTGGTAGCTTTTCTAAAATCCTGTAGGAAGAAGGGCAATAATGTCTTTCCCCTTGATAAAATTCACAGAACATTCTCTCTGAGGATTTTGACTTTAAATCTTCGATCTCGGGAATTCTTGCCAACACAGAATGTATGGCTCTTCGCTGATTGCCTGGTGCCCGAACTTGCATTTACGGGGTTCTTGCAAACCGTCTGGTGTATTCCGATTCCTAACCTAGTCACTGGAGAGAAATTAAATTGCGTGGAGGCACTAGGCGGCGCCAGCCTGGCTAATAAAAATGGCTTTCATGAAAAATTCACTAGCAATAACAGAAGTACAAACATTGTTGCAGTAGTTGTTATACTAACCAATTTTAACATGTTAAATAGTGATAAATAGTGATAAACTGAAGTTGTAAATTGTTTTATTTATTGCAGGGAGCTGAAATTAAATAATAATGGAATATAACTTAAGCCCTAACTTATATAACATAAAGCCCTAACTTCTATAACATAAAGTCCATTACTGGCAAAGCTTACTGCAAATGTGTTATATTCTTGTACTAAACTATACCATCTGTCTTTTTCAATGTGCATGCCAATAGCAGTGATGGTGATTGTGTTTGTAATCAATTAATGGTTCTATAATTTCTTTCAGAGACCTATCACCACCATCTGTTGGGGTCACCGAGACTCACGGCTCTTCCTTGCCTGTGGTCCAGCTTTGTATGTGGTTAGAGTGGAGCACCGTGTGGCCAGTCTTCAGCTCTTGTGCCAGCAGGGCATCGCCAGCGCCCTGAGAGAGGAGAAGGATGTGGGGAAACTCAACATGCCCTCTCTGCTCTGCTCCTATGTCACTACAGCTTTCATACCAACCATCAAAGTAAGCATCTCATGTTTTTTAATAACCATAGTAGCAATTGCTATTAATTGATTTCAGCTCCCATGCACTATTTTGAGTGTCTTTTCATTGGAAATCGTACTAATTTTACATCACTTTGAAACCCATATATACTTACTTACAACTTCAGTGTTAAACCTATATCAATGGCTTTTGAAGATAATTGTGTAATCCCTCAGTGGTCCAGGTAGGATCCATGACAAAAGAAAAAATGAAAAAAATACAGAATTGATTTTTTTTGCTTTTGAAGACAAGCTTAAGTCAGCTTCTTGCATATATAACTGACCCTCTACTGCTTATTGCATATATAACTGGCCCTTAACAAAGGGCCTTAGATAAAACTGACAATTGAAACCTCTGAAAGATTTTGCATAGTTAGTAAAGGTACTATGTAACTTTTTATTGTTAGGGGTCCTCCATCTGCTTGTTTCTATGGATATGTTATTGCTCTCCCTGGATTGTTCCACTGTATGACATGAGCTCCATCTTACATTTATTCAATTGCAGATGGATTTATAGTTGAAAAATGCCTAGAAAAGTAGACATTCTGACTATGGGTGGGGTTGGATTTCCATAGGTCTGTTCTGTAACATGGTGTGGTTTGGTCTTTATACCATACTGGGAAACATTCCAGATGAAGCAATAACATCTGCATGGAGAAAAGCATTTGATGAACCCTCCACTAGAAAAGTTGCACAGTGCACCTTTAAAATATATTAGGAATGTACAATAAAATGCTTGCTATCTTGTGTGCTTGGTTTCTTGATAATCCACTTGAGTTCATACTATGGTAATTATATAGTACCCAAGGAAATTACGCCCCATATCCCTACAGAACAATCTCACTATTTGTACAGAATAAAATGTAATTATGAAAACAGTTTAGTGCATCAGTTTTGGTTCACAGCAATGGATGTGATACAGCTGACTTCCACATGTTTTCTTTGAGTGTCCAGCTCTTCCTCCTCTCTTTTCCTCTCTTTGTTTTAGCCTCCAATCCCTGACCCCAACAACATCCGGGACTTTGTGAGCTACCCCACCTCCGGGAACGAGAGGCTCCACTGCACCATGAAGCGGGCAGAGGACAGTCCAGAGGCGGGCGGGCCCTGCTACACCCTGTACCTCGAATATTTGGGAGGACTGGTGCCAATCCTCAAAGGGAGACGCATCAGTAAACTAAGACCTGAGTTTGTTATCATGGATCCCAAGAATGACAGTAAAGCAGGTAGGTATTAGTTTACTAATTTTAGGTTAATTGTTTACGTAGTATTTCTCACATAGTCACATTCAAGACCAGTTTAGTTCATCCCATTATAACTGTATTACTTTTATATTTAATGCTGAAATTGAACACAAAATTGTTTATGGGGCAATTTTACATCTACAAATCATTATCCCACAATCATATTATATTGTAATTAATATAATTTACTGTGTTGCCACAATAGAAAATAATATTTTTTACTACATTGAAAAAATATTATTTTATTCTAAACTTAAAATTATAGTGGTCTATTTAGAATTAACATGTGCCACTAATTCCGATATATATATATATATAATATGATATAAAGTACGAAAGGTCCAGTTTGTCAGTTTTTTTTAAGTATCAATACTTGTTCAAATGAGTATCAAATGTCAGTATTTTACAGTTGGTTAAGTATCTTTTTTATGTATTTATTTATTTTTTTAGAATCACTGGTATTGTCAAAATAGTTCCTCATTGCAGACCAACAAAGGACTTGCAATGTCACCTTTAGGGTTAGTGTTAGTGGTTAGTTAGTGGTTATGTCAATATTTTAGTTGGTTTAGTCTAACTGTTCTGCAGAGACCCATAATATTTCTACTGTTGCACCACTGTTCACCTTGAAAACCAACAAACAGATAGTACAAGGATGACTTTCACAAGTGGTCTGAGGCTTGATCCCTAAATAGTCTGACTGCACTATTTGCCCATGGCTTTAACATCATTTAAACAAGGAACAGCTGAGCCACTAAAACTACATCCAATAATGTTGTTTTGCTTGGTTCTTGTCTTTTCAGATGAAGTGTGCGTGAATCCCATTGCGTTCAGTGACAGCTGTAACTGCTCTGATTCCAGTGACATTGAGCTGAGTGATGAGTGGGTCGGCAAAAAATCACCAAAGTTGTCACGAGGGAACAGGTTAGGCTGACTTTAAAGATTCAGTTATACCCATAATGTATGTGCTAAATCTGTTGGCAGGTTTTAACAACAAGAATTTGGCAAAGCAATGGGCTAAACCAGGGGTGTCAAACTTATTTTGGTCCGGGGGCCGTATATAAATAGGAATAAGTCCATTTTTCTTGTAAAATCCTGCACTCGGCTCCACTTTTCTCATGTTGGACATTTTTCTGATTAGGGTGTCACGGTCAACAGTCAAACCAATCGTCCTTTAAGAGCGTTTGGAAAGAGACAAGTCTTCATTTGTCCTGCTCTGGTGGGAGGGGCCACGTACAGAGACGCTGGAGATGCTGCTGTGCTCAGCGCCGCAGAAAATTACCAATATTTTAATTTAAATATTTAAATATAATTAAAATATTTTAGTAGAAAATCAGCTGAGGGCCAGATTAAAGGCCTTAGAGGGCCGCATCTGGTGCCCGGGCCGCATGTTTGACACCTGTGGGCTAAACTATTGACATGAAAAAAGTATTTTTAGAAAGTCAGTTTACACCACTGGATCCACCGATCTACTGGACAGGGCGGAGCATTGGAATACCTTAAAGTTGCGCACGCTTCCCCCTTCGTTCAGCGATTCGGAAAGCACCGTAGAGATTCAAATGAGGAAAGCGAACCCACCACCACCCTATCCTGGTACAGTGGTGTCAGTAGCAGCTACGGTTGCAAATACACCACAGACGCTAGTGACAAAATGTGATAGCCCTAGTGTCTTGGTGCCAGATCCTTGCCTCAAAAGGACAATTTCTTGCGTCACCCCATCACCTTACAGTACCCAGTGCCTCTCGGTTATGAGTGGATTACAACCTTTGATAGTCGCAGCAATGTTGAAGAAGTATGTAGACTCCAAAGAAGACTTATTCGCAACCAAAACGCAGTACATGGTATCAGCAGATCTGCTACACTCAGAGTCACCTCATCTGAGAATAAGAAAATCCAACTTCCTTACAGTTCTGCCACTTTGAGTCAACATATATATAAGAAGAAATATAAGAAATCTAAACAGTTTTCTTTAAAAAATTGTCAGATTTGGAATGCATATTTTTTCTACAGAATTAATTTGGAATCCAGGAAGTCTCCGAAACTTTCACGAGCCAATCAGGAAGGTCAGAGGTCACCACGGTTACCGACAAAAAAGCCCCCTGTTCGCTCACCAAGTTTGACAAGAAGAGAGATGTTCATGGATGGACTCACAGAAGTAAATGTTTTTCATGTCCTTTTCAAGTTGTTGTCAAACTTTGGTTTAACAATGCTGTTATCATTTTCCCCCAATTTTCCAGCACAATTACCTTGCTCAAGTCACATCCAATATTTGGGGGACAAAGTTCAAAATAGTTGGCCTTGCTTCTTTCCTACCTGCAAATCTTGGAGCAGGTAAAAATAAATATTACATGTAATGAAGTCTAAATTGTAATCTTGCATACACTTTAATGTATTGCAGTTATTTATAAGACCAGCTTGCTACATCTGCAACCGAGACAGATGACAATCTACCTTCCTGAAGTGAGGAAGATTTCTCATGACTTTATGAGTCTGCCTGTGTTCAACCCCAATGTTTTCAGTGAAGACGAAGATGACTTACCAGGTGAGAAATGACACATGCATTTATACAGATTTGCATTCTAACTATGCAGGTAGGCTTGGAACAAAGGTATTATTTTATGCAAGTATTATTATTTTAATTTCAAGTATTTATTTCAGTTGCAAACACTACACTCCAGTTTTGAATGCACCTGACTTTATATTTTGTATGTTTACTGTATCTCCATAGTGATGGGTCCCTCTGGTGTGGCCGGAGATAACCCTCCCTGTACTGTGAACATCCCCATCGCTCCCATCCACAGTCCTGCTCAAGCCATGTCGCCCACTCAAAGCATCGGCCTGGTGCAGTCTCTCCTGGCCAATCAGAACATCCAGCTGGATGTCCTGACCAATCCCACAGCCAATGCAGCAGTAGCGGCTGCGGCGGCTGCAGCCTCTGTCCCTGTCAGCGACCACAGCCAAGACCCTATCCAGTCTCCTTACCCTGTTACATCCAGATACTCGAACCCAAACCAGGTGATGTTCAGTGGGTTGGATTTGGGATCACTTTTACCTGGGACGCTGCCACCTCTGCCCCCTCCTCACCATCTACCGCCACAGCCGCAGAGACCTAGCCATCCGCAGCCTCCTCGCCAACCCCCACCCAAAGCGTCGCAACAAGGGCAGAGAATGCATCTCCAACAACACCAACCGCACCAACAACATCAACCACACCAACAGCACCAACCGCACCCACAGCACCAAACACACCCACCACACCCACAGCACCCACCGCACCCACAGCACCCACCGCACCCACAGCACCCACCGCACCCACCGCACCCACCGCACCCACCGCACCCACCGCACCCACAGCACCCACAGCACCCACAGCACCCACAGCACCCACAGCATCAACAACATCAACAACATCAAGTCCAGTCCCAGTCACAGCAGTTGCAGGTACCCCAGATGCAGCAGGGCCCACCGGTGTCTCCTCAAACTCTTCAACAGCAGCAGCAGCTTCAGCAACAGCAGCAGCAGATCCGGCAGCAGATCCAGGAAATGAGACAGCAACAGGCCCAGTTACAACAACAGCACCAGCAAATCCAACAGCACCATCAACAAATGCAGAGGCAACACCAACAGATGCAACAACAGCTCAAAATGCAAATGCACCTTCCCCCGCCACCCACAGGGTATCCAACCATCTCCTTACAGCAAATCCACCATCTCTTACCACAGATGCCTCCACCCACCAGCGAACCGGGACTGGACAGGGCGGAGCATGGGAATACCTTAAAGTCAACCCTACCCCGCACGCTCCCCCCTTCGTTCAGTGATTCGGAAGGGACCGTAGAGATTCAGATGAGGAAAGCGAACCCACCGCCACCCTATCCTGGTACAGTGGTGTCAGTAGCAGCTACGGTTGCAAATACACCACAGACGCTAGTGACAAATTGTGATAGCCCTAGCGTCTTGGCACCAGATCCTTGCCTCAAAAAAGATGATTTCTTGCTTCACCCCGTCACCTTACAATACCCAACGCCTCTTGGTTATGAGCGGATTACAACCTTTGATAGTAGCGGTAATGTTGAAGAAGTATGTAGACCCCGAAGAAGACTTATTCGCAACCAAAATGCCTATGCAGTACATGGTATCGGCGGATCTGCTACTCTTAGAGTCACCTCATCTGAGAATAAGAAAATCCAACTTCCTTACAGTTCCGCCACTTTGAGTCGCCTGTCCGTTCCTAGATACTCAATACCAAGTGGAGATCCACCGCCTTATCCAGATCCTGCCAATCAGGTGACCGCTACTTTGCCTCCGCCCCAGAGAATTGACAGCAGTCTTATCCATGCTACGCTAAGACGTGAACGAAGAGATGTTAGCCTCAAAGTTCCCCAAATGATGGAAAGCTCGAGAACTCTTCCTACAAAAGCCAAAATGAATAGTGCATTAGGAGGCCTCGGCTACCAGCAGAGGTTGCCCACTGCGTTGTATACTTGTACTCAGTGTAGCAGTAACAGCAGTAGCACTAGTGTTAGTGTCACAGGTGGTGGTACGTCCAGTAGTGGGATAGCTGGTGGGACAGTGGTAAGACAGGACTTTCCGCCAAGCAAAGGGCCTCATCATAGCACCATTATTGTTCATTCAAAAAGTGCCTCGCCATTGGCTTCTCAGTCATCATACAACCTGCTTGGTGCTGTGGAAAATAGCAGAGACAGGACTGTGTATGTGAACTCGGCCTTTACAGAGGATGAAACAATGAGTCAGCAATGTCATCTTGAAAAATCAGTGCGACAGTTGAACTTAGGTGATGTGAATTTGACACTGAAACGCCCTCCACCTTATCAGTGGGACACTTCAGCTACAGAGGACTTTTGGATCACTCCGGAACAAACAATGCTAGCTCCGCCACCTGCCCCACATAAACCACCTCCACTTATAATTAGCCAAGCTCAGCATTTAGATGTAAGCCGACTGCCTTTTGTTCTCACCACTAAACCTCCAACTAGCCCAAGTACAACCACTCTTACCTTTCCATCTGGGTATCAGATTTCACTTTCCCCTTTCCCACCAAGTGTAAATCACAGTGGGCCTACTTTGCAGACTTTACAAGCTGGACCAAATCCAAATGAGTTGGTCAGTCAGTCCCCATTTACTCAACAAGATCCAAATTTGGTCCTACCACCTGGTTATCCCCCAAATTTGGCAAGCTTGGCGTGCTGCCCGCTCCCCCCAATGTACCCAGGGGCAAGCTCTTGTGCCGGGCTACAGCTTCATCCAGTCAGTCTCCATCCATGGAACCCATATCCATGCCCACCGCCAATGCAGGACCCCCCAGCTCCCCCACTACCAACTAAAACTCACCAAATACTGGAAAAGCCTATTCTCTCACCACCTCCCCCCACTGCGCCTCCTCCACCCCCACCTTTGCCCCCACCTCCCCCGCCTACTGAGCTACCGCCATCAAAAAGTGCAGCCGAAGATCTCACTGATTCTGCAAACAACTTCCCAGAACCCTCATCACTGAATGAAAGCCCTGTACCCCAAGAATCTGAACGGTTTAGCAAAAAAAGTCGCAAAAGGTTGGACAGCAGAGCAGATGATGTCCCTACAGTGTCTGAAGGGAAATCCAGAAAGGAAGGACGTGCACTTTCGGATTTTAATAGTTTGATTTCAAGTCCAAGGCTTGGAAGTAGGGAAAAGAAGAAACCTAAGGGTCAAAGGGAGCAATTAAACAAAACAAAAAAAATCAGCAGAGCCACAAACGAATTTCAAGATAGTTCAGAAAGTGAACCCGAGTTGTTCATTAATGGAGATGAACTCATGAACCAAAATCAGAGTAGTAAAAAGAGCTGGAAAAACAAGCGCAGTATGAGGATGGCAAGTGAGTTGGAGGAGATCAAATGTCGTAAAGCAAATGAAAGAGAAGACAGAAGTTTAGGAAGCCAAGGGTTTGTCTATGTCATGGCCAATAAGCAGCCACTATGGAATGAAGCAACACAAGTCTATCAGCTGGACTTTGGAGGACGGGTCACACAGGAGTCAGCAAAAAACTTTCAGATTGAATTGGATGGGAGACAAGTAAGTCACTGTTACACACTATCACCAAAAAGATTTCTTGATTACAAAATATCTGTTATCTTTATTCTTTTGTGGTAGCAATGACAGAATGAAAACCAATACAAAAGTACACCACTAAGCCCATGCCTGTAAAGCAACATGAACAAAATCTATGGACATCATCTTGTTCACTAATCCTCTGCTTTGCATTACAAAGCCTAGGACCAGACAAAATATAAAACATTAATTATAGGTTAATTGCAATTTATAATATTGGTAAAAAATTTAATGTTTTTGTCTTTGTAGGTGATGCAGTTTGGACGAATTGATGGAAATGCCTATATTTTGGATTTTCAGTATCCCTTTTCAGCAGTTCAGGCTTTTGCTGTGGCTCTGGCCAACGTGACTCAGAGGCTGAAGTAAAAAAGACTCATTCACATACCTGTAGATCTTGAACTGTGTGCAGTTGCAGCTGGGGAAACATGGGTTTAAGCCATGTGGAGGCCTATCCACTGCTCAAATGAACATTGTTCCTGCAGCAGGCTCATTTTCTGAAGGTACAAACTGTGTTCATAAAACTTGAATGTCATTTTGTGGCACTCACAATTTGCCATCACCCAGAAAGAAAGAAAGAGTTAGTTAGCGCTCCTAAGCTGTCACGCCAAAGACACATAATATAGAAGGGCAATCACGTTAAAATTAACATCACTAATAAATCTTTATAATGCACTTTGTTAGTGAATAGCAATGAGCCAATAGCAGGAAAAACTGCATGGTCATTTAAAGCTCCAATTCTTTAGAAATGTCTATGAAGTATATACATTAATTAACCATTACTGATTACAAATCCATGTTAAGCCATATATTGTACAGGGCACCATATAAAGCATAGTTCTTTAAAGTACAATATATTTTATTTCATACATTTTATTTTATATACACATTTAACATAAATATGCTCCTTTTGGTTTTTTGCAAATGCTACACATTCAGGCATTAGTTATTTGTACTTATGTTCTTATTCATGCTTAATAACCATGGCACTTAACCATTTTATGTTTCAGAATCCTCTTGTAAATACACCAACACATTTTATTGCAGCTTCTGTTGTTTTACTGTTCTACATTTGTCTATTAGTTTGTAGTATTTGCAAAGTGTTCCTTACATTATGATTGCTATGTATTATTATTGTTATAAAATAGCAAATTCTACTTATTTTTTGTTTTTTGTCCAGTTGCCTTCATGGTGCCCACTATCATGATGCCCCTGTTAGGCCTGTGTATGTGCCAAAAAGTCTACATTGGAAAACAACTCAACATATTTTTTCGTTGACTTCCCTGTCAGTTTGAGACTTTTTCCTAGTAGTTGTGTTTTGACGCTACTATAAACTGCATTGAATGTGAAGTCCAGTGGCTTGCCTTTTTGGAAACAGTGCTGCTTTCTGTAGATAGATAGAGCTTGTCTGCTTTAGAACTTGACTGTATGTAGGACTGATGTTCTAGCAAAACAAAACAAAACAAAAAAAAAAAACAACATGCTGCTTGCACTTACATATGTAGTGGATGGACTGATATTAATTACTTATTATTATTATAAGCTTGTATGTATTTTGGTTGGCAAATTATGTAATGTTGTACTGAAGCTTTAATTTTAAGGTCACATAATAATAATAATAATAATAATAATAATAATAATAATAATAACTGGGAAACAGTTGCAAGAATAAATCTATATGGTCAGACGTTTGAGGTAAATTGTGGTAGATCTATATAGAAATGGTGCTATATATAAAACACAGAAATATGAGCAAAGGTTATTTTAAAGAATAATTTAAAAAGTATTTTTAGAGAGGAGATTGGGAAACTGGTGTCATTTCTAAAAAATATATATATTATTTACATAAACTGCTTAAGAGATTCTTGAAGCAAAATGTCAGTTTTCAGCAATACTGTGTAAGTGATTTTTCTGTTTATAACCAAACCTGGTTAATAAAAAATACTGTGCATAAATTACCTCTTGTTCATTCATAAATTAATTTATTTTTAAGATTATGTTTATTTTTCTTTATTGATTTATTTATTTTATGTGAAGTTGTATGCCAACCACACAGTGCACTAATCTGTCCATTTCATTTGTGAGAGGTGATCCATGAGGAGTGTTAAGTATGGCAGTGGCTAAATTCAGGTGTTTGACCTGATGAAGTTGGTTCTAATAAAACATGCTAAAAGGCTTGGTAAATAATCACTGCATGGGGCCATGTATTATGCATTATGTTATGCTTAGTACATGCATAATTAATGCATGTGTGAACTGAAATGGATAACTTAATGAGTAATGACCACAGAACTATAATAAAATCTTTTAATGACAATGGCAAATGTATAATACGTATAATAAGGCAATACTTTAATAATACAATACACTGAATAGATTGTCTGCTACTTTAATAAGTCTTTTGAGAAAGGTCAAAGGGGGCTGCTCTTGCTCAGAAGCCATCATTTACGTCTTTAGTGTGCTCTTGAGCTTCCTCTAGTGGAGCAGGTAGAGGAGACAAGTGGTGCAGTTTGACTTGAAAGACGTCCCAGCTCTCAGGAAGCAGGCCTCTGGTGAAAAAGACTGAAGCACGCAGATGCTTTTCACTGGAGAACAGAAGACCCCCATGAGAAAGCCCATTATAGCGCCATAATCATTTGAGATATTAAACATTTCGGCTGATGTGTGAAGTGGCAGGACTGATCAGAACAAAGGGAACACAAATCCACTGCAGAAATAGCACAAATTAGTGTACACTAATCAAATATAGCAACATGAGCATTGACAGCTGGAGTAATATTGGCTGGAATAAATCATTTCATACAAAAAGCATTTTCTCTTCATATGTGATGTTTTAGGAGACTAAATATGGCCCAGTGTAAAGTGACTAGGTCAGAGTATTCAGCATGCCCCAAAACGCTTTCATGGGCCATCCCTTCTGTGTCTATCAATGGTGCACGAAATGAATGGTGAACCAGCTTCAGGCAATGCATGTGCCAAACCCCAGTCTCTCAGTGTGCTGTGCACCATGGGGTGGCACCCTTCTGACCAATGTCCTAAAAACACCCCTGGATTGGATATTGCATGTTTTATTGGAATAAATACAATGTTGTCACCATGCAGTGTTGGGGAGTAACGGATTACATGTACCGGCGTTACGTAATCAGAGTATAAATTATGAGTAACTGTATTCAGTTACAGTTACTGTTTCAATGAGTGGTGGATTACAGTTACTTTGCTGAAATAAATGGATTACATGGCAGTATTTTCCTATTTTTACATTTTGTGCTATATCTCATTTATTTATTTATTTATTTTTTATTTCCTGTAATTCCAGTCATTGCCGGAAACCCACACAGAACGCGCGCAATAAGAGCGAAGTTGGCGGCGTCAGTCACACAATAGACGAGGACGAACAGCCCTCAGTGTCAGCATTGCACAGGTAAAAACGCATTCGTGTCTTGGAAATTCTTCTCCCGACGTGAGATATAAAAGAAAATAACAAATATAAAATCGCCTACAAGTTAATTGTCAAACCGGAGCTACTGGCACTGGTGAAAACCTGCATAGGCTCATAATATCTGCACTACTGTCCTATAGTGACCTGCCGTATTAGTGGAGCTGGTAGTTGAAATAATCGTTGAGTTTGTGGTACAAGCATAAAATTTGGAGTGGAGATAGATAATAACATGGTCTTTACGAAAAGCCCGTTAGCCACCAAAAATATCCAAGATGGCGGCCATTTTTCAAGCTGTATAATAACTATATATAACTATATATGTATAAATGTTTGTTATTTAATTAATTATTTCTATTTTGAGTGAAATTATTTATCAAATCATTTTTGGTGGTTATTTATCATCTTTCATTATATTTATAATATCTACAAATTAATGTCATTAAATAATAACACAGTGGAAAGAAATCTCATGGACAAATCTTATTGAAACCTACATGAAGAAATATTAAATATATGTAGTACCAATGTGCTAAAATATGTTTTTGTTAGAATATATATGTGTTTATTCTAGAAATGGTTGGGGTCGTAGCCAGTGTTGTGCATGAACGAGTTCAAAAGAACGCGTTCATTGAACACGTTCATTTTTCAGTGAACTTTGAACTGAACGCAACACTTTTGTAAATCAAGAACTTGAACGTGAATTTGTTCAAATTATGTGTGATGAACGACGTACGTCACTGTTGGGGTTCAGTTAAACGTCGGAATTTGACGAGTGACGATCTGCTCGCACTTCACCTCGCGAAACCACAGCCGCGTGTCAACGCGAAGGCGACTCCACCGGCAGCTTTAGCGGAACGTACGGGCTCTTGTGTCTCTCAATGAGAAGTCAATCAAACTTAGCTGCTTGGATTTACCTTCTGTACATGGCTGACCACGGCAAACGCAAGGATTTCAAAAGTTAATTTCAAAGCACTAATTAACAGTCTATGTGGATCTGGGCTCTTTCACATGATACACAACTGCCCAGGGAGCACAATGTGCTGATGGTAAATGCACAAATACAACAATAGATACATGCTCTCTGTGTATTTTGACGGGGATATGCGCCTAAACTCGTGTAGAGCGTCACAAAATAGGATGTATCCTATTTTCTGAAATCTACACGCACAGGACGTGCTGCTCCGCGCGCTTATTATTTTACTTGGTACATATGTCAGTAACGCGCGTCACAATGCTTTTTTAACCTGGATTGAAATGGTGGGTTTTTCGTTTTTCTTCATACAAATTTGCTAAAATCACCGCGATATCAGCAGCGGTGAAACGCCGGAGGTGCGCCCGCGTAGACCGTGATCCTGAGCGAAAGGACCGACGCAGAAGTCCGCGCTCCACTGAGCTAAACGCAGCTTATGCCCGATCGCACTCGGGGTTCTCTCAGGGGCGGTCCTAGATTCCAAGATCTAGTCCAGGATTAGTCCTGGTTTGGTCCTGGTTTAGTCTTGGTTTAGTTCTGGTTTAGTCCTGGTTCAGTTCTGGTTCAGTAATGGTTTAGACCTGGTTTAGTCTTGGTTTATTCCTGGTTTAGACCTGGTTTAGTCCTGGTTTAGTTCTGGTTTAGACCTGGTTCAGTCCGGGTTTAGACCTGGTTCAATTTTGGTTCAGTCCTGGTTTAGTCTTGGTTTATTCCTGGTTCAGTTCTTTTTTAGTCCTGGTTCAGTTCTGGTTTAGACCTGGTTCAGTCCGGGTTTAGACCTGGTTCAATTTTGGTTCAGTCCTGGTTTAGTCTTGGTTTATTCCTGGTTCAGTTCTTTTTTAGTCCTGGTTCAGTTCTGGTTTAGACCTGGTTCAGTCCTGATTTAGACCTGGTTTAGTCTAAAATAAATGCAGCCTTTCATTTACAGATCTCACCTAAATATAAAATGAACTGAACTTTGAACTAGTTAAAAATTAAAATTGTGAACTATGAACGTGAACTATTCATTTTGAACAAGTGTGAACTGAACTTTGAACTAGTTCATGAAAAGTGTGAACTTGCACAACACTGGTCGTAGCACAATCAGGGCATACTGGTGACTCTGCTGCTGTGAAACTTAGCATGGGGTTCAGTGTCGGCTATGTAGTGTTACTAACATTGTAATATTTAATGTAGTTAATGTAGCATGATGTAGTGTCCCAAATGCTATGTAATTAGCCCTGTAAATACACCAGCTAGTAGTTTTAGTATGAGTTATAACAATATTAGGCAAGGCAACTTTATTTGTATAGCACAATTCGTACACAAAGTAATTCAAAGTGCTTTACAGAATAAGAAATACATTAAAATCATAATAAAAACAAATCAAAACATAAATAATCATGAAGATTAAAATTAAAAAAGAGAGACATAAATTGGAGAGAAGAGTGCAGAATGAAAACCTTTCAGTTATATGCAGAGTCAAACAGAAATGTTTTGAGCCTGGATTTAAACAGCTGTTTAATATTAGTTGTAGTATTAAAGTTAGATAGCCGTACCTGAATTGACAGGATATACCAGACTGAATGATGGTAGTGGCATTGAAGAAACGCTAATAAAAAAATTAAATCATCAAAGCTGCAGATTATTGTTCAGTAACAGTAAACTTGAACGGGCAAACAAAAGAGCAGCTTGTAATACAGTGGACTCAGACGAAGGACATTCAAAAATTAGAAGAACTGTGCAGAAGCCCCAGCAATGTTTTTTTATGTGATAACATAGAACCAGCTTCTGAACTAAGACAAGCATCAACAATGCAGTTAAATGATAGGCTGAAAGAATGTGCCAAAAATCTTAATGAAGGCAAACTTTTTTCGATAGTTCTTAAGCACATACAGCAACTATGAATTTTAATGGCTCTATTTCTGAAATTAACCTATGTCAGTATGTTGCATTTTATTTTAATTTTGCTCGTGTTTTTATTTCTACTTCCCAAATGGTTATTGGGATACTTTTGGTTTCAAATTGCGAGAAAATGTAATTAATTTTGTGCAAAATTAAATATATTTTGGTGTAAAATTTGTTGAATATCTGACATTGCATTAGTGTAGATGTATATATTTGCAAATTTGTGATTTATTCCATTAATTTTGATTAAGAACATGATGACTTATTGTCTTTTAGCTCATACTTGTGTGAAATCAGTTGTTTGGTCGGCCATCTTGAAAAATGGCCACCATATTGAATATTTCAGGTGGCTAACAGGTTTTTCTAAAAGAGAATGATGTTAGCTAAATATAAGAGAAATTTGGTGCTTGTACCACTAACTGAACGATTCTTGTGGTTTGGAGACCTAATCTGCTCCACTATATGAGGGGACGCACACACAGACACACCCACCTTCATCATCGTCATCAACCTGAGAACGCGCAGACCACATCTCCTTCCAGAGCTACTGCGCGGACACCGCTGTTCTCCCGTGCGCCGTGTGTGGACTGCGTTTGCTCGCATACGCTGCGTAGACCGCGCTTCCTCCTGTGCGCCTCTAAACCAGAACTAACACCAGGACTAAAACTGGGACTAACCCAGTCCAGGACTAAACCAGGACTAATCCAGGTCTAAAACCAGGACTAAAACCAGGACTAAAGCCAGAACTAAAACCAGGTCTAAACCAGGACTAAAACCAGGTCTAAACCAAGACTAAACCAGGACTAAAACCAGGTCTAAACCAGGACTAAAACCAGGACTAAAGCCAGAACTAAAACCAGGTCTAAACCAGGTCTAAACCAGGACTAAAACCAGGTCTAAACCAGGACTAAACCAGGACTAAAACCAGGTCTAAACCAGGACTAAAACCAGGACTAAAACCAGAACTAAAACCAGGTCTAAACCAGGACTAAACCAGGACTAAAACCAGAACTAAAACCATGTCTAAACCAGGACTAAAACCAGGTCTAAACCAGGACTAAAACCAGAACTAAAACCATGTCTAAACCAGGTCTAAAACCAGGACTAAAACCAGTGATCTCATATAGAAAGCATTTTTCTATCAATAATATTTGTAATGTGGTAAGTAACGACTTTTATTGTCTTTAAGCAGACAACACATCGTATGTTAATATTTCCAAGACTTTGCTACTTTACAGCAAACAGTTGCTTATTCATGGAAACTTGGTGTCAACAGACAATTTGAAGAGAACAAACAAGAATTTTCAGGATGTGGTTGCTACATTCACGCAGTTTTAAAAAGCATGACAATATCAAGTAATCCAAAGTATTTAGATTACGTTACTCACCTTAAGTAATTTAATGGATTACAAACATTTTGGTATATGTACTCTGTAATCTGTAGAGGAATACATTTTAAAAGTAACCTTCCCAACACTGATGACATCTGTGTAGGCTGCAGAGTAGAGCCCTAGATACATACACCCAGATACAAACACTGTAAGACACACCCAGGACCACACTGGCAGTTGAACCTGTTTAACACAAAAGCAAAAAACACATTACACCATATAGAACTAAAAATGTGTTCGCTCAACTGTTTTACCCAGGCAGATGATTATTAAACTGACAGAGAGTATCTCAATACAAACTGAAACCAGTGACAGAGCCGCTATCAGGACTTTTCCATATTTGAGCTGAAAAAAGCTCTAACATTGATGATCACTCTCATGGCCCAATAATGGGTAAAAGTGGCAAATGATAGTCATATTGTTGAGTTTCTATAAGAATTTTTATTTGTATCTTGTGTCAACAGGAACTACTCATCATTGGCTCATTCACTTCCTTATCCACCTCCAAAGACTTCAAAGTGGGCTCTTGAGCAACCTCTAGTAGATTAGATGGAGGAGGGACATTTTGCAGTTTGATTTGAAACACGTCCCAACTCTCAGGAAGAAGGCCTCTGTTGAAAAGTACAGACGCCAGGTAGGAGAACAACAAGATGGCCACCAGGGCACACAGCATGCAGATGGTTTTAACTGGAGCGTGCTGCACATAGACACCATCCTCCAGAGTGCATCCTGGGAAATGTAGTATCACAGGCAAGCCTGTGGTTGGGTCCCCACAAAGAAGTCTTAAACAAACTCCAGCAAAGAAGCCTATTATTGCTCCATATGGATTTGACAAATTAAAAAACAGAACACAAACTAACTGAGGGAAAACAACAAGGTATGCCACCTCTGCGCCAATCAAAATAATTAATATAACACTGTTTTTAAGGTTGGTGAGAAGAGTACCAGCGACACCCGCTACAGTCACAGACACACGGATCACCCACTGGAACTCTCTATCAGATGCCTGGAGAAGAAAGGATAACAGCTTTTATGTTTTTAAAAACTGAAGATTACAGTTCCAATCTTTTCTTTTACCTGAGGTCTGATGATGCTTTTGTAAATGTTGACTGTGAAGACAGAGGCAGCAGACAGCATCACAGAGTCTGCAGAGGACATGGCGGCAGCAGCCACACAGCCAATCCCAATGATCGAGATGTAGGACGGGGTGAGGTGCTGCAGAGCGATGGGCAGGACTTGAGCTTTTTCTCCTCGTTCAAATGGAGACGGAGTGCCATAAGACGTCTGGTTCCAGTCTGAAGCAAGGTACAAATTATTGCTAATTTCTCTATCTTTTGCACAGCCTTAATATCACATTGAAGTTTATGTACACTAACAGTCAAAACCTTGGACAAACTTTCATTCTTTCTTTCTTTTCATGATTATTTACACTGTAAGTTTTTACTGAGGGCATCAAATATATGAATGGATACATATGGAATGTACTAAACAAAAATCTCAAAATAACCCCAAATTTGTTTCAGATTTTGTTTTGGTCACTGATTTGGACAATTACCATTCCTTCACCCAGACACGGAACACATTGAAGTGAAAAACATTTCAGACGACTTCATTCTAAGATCACTGAGAGAAGACCAAAGGTTTGCAGCAGTGTCAAGCAAAGGGTTAGCCTGATTCTTCAGTCGATTTCACTTCATAAAAACCGTCTGACCTCGCAACGTTAGAATTCAGCCGGGTAAGTTTTTTAATTTAACCAGTCGCTGCCATTTGGTCGTGACATGTGTAATGCACCGCTAACGGGGCTAACTGGTATATTAAGCTTTTCCCAAGTCCCGTAGGAAGAAGGACAATAACGTCTTTCCCCTTGATAAAATTCACCAAACATTCTCTTTGTTCTGGCTTTAAATCCTCAGTCTTGGGAATCGTTGCCAACACAGAATGTATTCACTGATTGGCTGGTGCCTGAACTCGCACTTCCGGGGTTCTTGCAAACTGTCTAGTGTATACTGATTCCTGACCTAGTTGCTGGAGAGAAATGAAATTAAGCGGAGGCACTAGGTGGCACCAGCCTCCCTACAGACACGGCACGCACTGAAGTGAAAAACATTTTAGGCGACTTCATTCTAAGATCACTGAGAGAAGGCCAAAGGTTTGCAGCATTGTCAAGCAAAGGGTTGCTACTTTGAGAAATCTGAAATATATATATTAAAAACTGTTGAATTATTACACTGTTTTTCTTTGTCATATAATTACATATATCTTGCTTCATATATTTGATGTCTTCCATATGTATCTAAAATGTAGAAAGTAGTACACATCAAAAAAACAACACTGAATGAGAGAAGGTGTCCAAACTGACTGGTACTGCATATCCTCAAATTAACTGTTGAAAAAGCAGATTACACATTGCAATATGTAGAATGAAGTCACAGGTTCCTGCTTTTGCAATTTTTAAAAACTTATACAAACTCAGAACAGACTGGGGAGCCAGGGAACCTCTTTCACAAATTAACGAAACAAATATGAGATGAAATGAAGTAGTTTATATAAAGTCTGATTTCACCGGCTTTACCTACTCTGTCCATTTAGACCACATCTTGTAAAATAAGTCCAGTTGCACTTTGAATGAAAATGAACCCTTTTCCATCATGTAGATTTCCTGCACAATATGAGTCTAGTTCTCAATTGTTGGTCACTGTTAAAGCCACTTCGTAGTTACTGCCTTTTTACTTGCTGCCAATAGAATATAGAGTAATCTCTTGTTTGTGTTGTTAAAGCCAAGATACAACGGTTCAAATGACAGGGGGAAAACAAATGAAAAAACATTTTGGAGATGTTGATGAATCTCTGACCAGTATCCAAAATGACTTTTAATATTCAAGTCCTCAAATTCAACTGTCAAAATTCAGAGTGGAAAAGTCGCAATGAAAAATTTTGCAGCACAGACAGTAGATACAGGCTCGTTACGTGAGTCAGATGCTCACACTGTCCAGGTCTATTTGGTTGTTCTTTTAACCCTTTATATGTTAATTTTTTGAAGACTCCGCCCACAATCTTTTTTTGGCAGAGGTGGGACCAAATACTTTTTATTCTTGGATGACTCCACATTCTCAAAAAATATGGAAATGGATAGCAATATCATTACCACATCTCCAACAGCATGACCTATTCCTTGGTATTTCTTCTGTACTGGTGTAATGAAAAATCTCATTAGGTTTTTCCAACAGAATTCACTTCATTCTCCCAATTAACTTCTGCCATTGAAAACTTTCCTTGGTACTGCATATCCAACCCTAAATCATTTGTGGGGAATACCTGTTGAGGAGGCTGCAGCTCCAATCAGAAGTGAGGGGATCCCCATTATCACGGTGAGAACAGAAGCGAAGCAGCAGGTGACCGTGGCTGTGTGAGTTGAGGAAGCTGACAGCGTCCGCTGGTGAACACACTGGTATCCCAGACTTCCCAATGCCTAGCAAGTCAAACTCTGGTTTAATGTAAATCTAACATTAGTGTAGAAGTGCGGGAAAGAAGGTTCACCAAATATAAGAAGTCATCCAGTTTTATTCCGATGGTTTTCAGATCTGTTTGACCGACCCACGGAGCATGTAGGGTGTTGTTGAGCAAAGTCTGACTAATGTCCAGAGTAGATGGGTTCATGAGGACGAAGGGGACACACAGCCACTGCAAAAACAGACAACAGCACTTCAAACTAAACATATAAAGACTGACATAGGTAGAGTACATGTTCATTTGGTTTTTTTTCTTAGACATTGCATCTTGTTTGTGCTATGTTTACGTGTATCAAATGTTGCCCTTGGGTCAAAACGATGAGATAATATTACACTACTGAAGGAGTTAATGACTAATCTGATTAAGAGTTTGGTAGAATATTGTAATTTTAAGACAGAGCTTTAAAACATAATCTTACCAAGCTGCCAAAGACCAGGATGAGCTGTATAATGTCAGTGTAGGCCACAGAGTAGAGCCCTCCCAGCAGAGTGTAGGTGATGGCCACAGCAGCAGACATCCAGATACACACACTGTAAGACACGTCCAGGACCACACTCAATGTTGAACCTAGGAACAAATACACGTCTTAAAGTTTTTCTCTCAAATATTTTGGAGGGGTTCTGTGTTTTACCGAGGCAGATGAGTATTCCGGCCAACATGAGAAGGTCCAGGCACACAGACACCACAGTTAGCGCTGCAGTCAGGACCCTCCCATACTTCCTCTGGAATGGGTCCAACATTGTCACATATTTGCTATCTCTCATCGGCTTTGCAAATATAAACCCACCTAAAAAACAATAAAAACTAAACAAACATAAAAAAAAAAAAAAACTACAAAAGACACTAATGAACACTAGTGTAAATCTTGGTTAAACCTCAAGCATTTTGCATTAGCAGTGTAGAAGTCTGCAAAGATCAAAAGGGCACACGCATATTTGTCCATAAGATTTCCTTGGAGTGAGTTCCTCATACGTTCACTTACAAATGACAAAAGTTGCAAAGTATGCCATCAACATCAACATGGTGAAGCTTAGTCCCATTGAAGGAGTGTAGGCCATTTCTGTGGTGCCCACTACAAATCCTCCTCCAACCCATGTGGCTGTAAGACAAGACAGTTTTAGAATTTTGAGTCCTCTTAAGATCTTAGACATGACCATCAAATACATCTAATAATAATGCACAGCAACATACCTGTCATGGTAAAAATCCCAACAGCTAAGTTAATTTTGCGGTTTCCCAGGACAACCATCTCCACTTCTTTGGCTCCACTTTTCTTCTGCTCCGTTTTGGACTTAAAGGAGGCCCAGATCCCAGTCCCCAAAACCAGCAGATAGAAGACCACAATGGCTATAACTCCAGGTATGTTCACTGCCATGATGCTTCAAACTAAACAGAGAGACAAATGGTATAAGAAAGTGCTCACATTGCATGGTGAGCTAGTCCCTCCTTCTTTCTGTTCTGTCTAGTTTATTGTTAACCAACAGTACAGTGTGTAGGAGCTCATAGGACATTTTGCAAGGTCTTGGCCATATGCTCAATTCTCAAAACTTTATCTGCTTTTGCATTTAACATATAATGTATCTTTCAAGTGTCTTAAAGGCAATATACGTATCAGAATATATATTTTTAATAATAATCTGTTTATTCGGAAGTCATGTTACTCCAGACAAAAAACATGACTAGTACAGCAGATATTTGGACTACAAACATGAACCAATGCAGAAATAGGGGAACCACATTTTTTCTACAGTTTTATGTTTACACCCCTTAAAACAGGCTTTTTATACTAAAGAATCACATTTTATTTATGTTTTTTTTTTTTAAAGGTAAGTTCAGAATTCTTGACTACTTACCATCTGGAGTCAATGACCAAGAGTGTGACGGAGCCAGTCCGTCTATGATTTTAGGTGGCGTTTTCCCCCCCTACACGTAACCGCGGTCTGCACTGGCGTGCCCGCGCACACACGCTGAGTCATCCCGCACACACGAGTTCATTCCCCGTTTTCCCCGCTGTTTCATTCATTCGCGCCGTATTCACTGTTATCGCCTTCTCCCCTCTTTCCTCCGTTACTAATTCGCCAAGGGTGCACACTTGAGCGCGTTAGAGTAATTTATTTCATACTTGTCTCGTACCTGTCCGATGACGCCGTCTCTCTCTCCTTCGACGCGGCGCGCCTCTGCCAAACCGAGCCCCTATTTCCTGGTAGTTGAAATAGGCGCTGTTCGCGCCGTGGTGCTGACCATGTGACGCGCATTATGTAATACGATTTTCTTTACGTTTTTCAGCTATTATTTTTGACATGTAATGTACATTATTACTGTGTGCTCAACGTAGCATAGACAAGGTAGGTTTATGGTTAAATTGTTTGTCTTTAGAGTGATTTTGATATATTGCTCAGTGGGAGGAGTCAGGGGAGTATAAAGGGGAGCCGTTCCTGGCTGTTAATCAGTCTGCCACCGGGTACAGAGCAGGTAACGTCGGTGTGCTGTACAGATTCTTAAAGGGGACAGTTAACGCAGAACTCGACCCTGTTTCTTCAACGTAAATACTTTTTGGATTGTTTTGCTCACTGTAAATATTCTGCACTGTTTTTGGGATTTTTGCACTTTGGACACTGGCACAATAAACCACCTGCACTCAGAATCTCGATCTTGCCTAAGTTTTTGATAGAGCCCCGCCACAAAGAGACAATAGGCTAATGCTGTAGCCAAATTTTGTAACAAATAGTTTACAAATTAAGTCTTCTTCAAACAATACACACTGGTGCTGCTTTAAATCTGCCTGAAGGGAGATGATAACTACACCGAAACCGCAATGAACCTTACACTACTACTTGTTTAGAGTTTGTGTCTGAGTCTGTTGAACAAGACTGAGCATGAACTGTGACTGTGTTATATCAGTATAATTATGCTCAATTCAGCTGACAGCTGATAATTGATTCTGTCTTTTGCTGTGGACCCTACCTGGGTGACAGGTTACGCAGACAAGCTGTGAGGAGAAGTCATTTGTGGGGGTTATAGGCTATGAAGAAAAAGTGAGTTTTGAGCTGTATTTCTTCCACAGTGGGGACATTCCAGTGTTCCAACCCACAGTTCAAGAACAACAGAAGAATATCAAAAATCACAAGTGACAGTGCACAAACTCAAACAATAAAACATCAGCAAAATGAGGACAATTCCAATAAAACTGTGTGACAGTTTGGATAAATAAATCAGTGAAACGACTACAAGGGATGAAAAATGTATTAGTTACTGCTACCCAAACACATGTCCTTTCAACTGACAACAATCACATCTTTGAAGGAGGACCGGGGTGGTTTAATTACTTTTTCCTCACTATTTGTACTGTAATCTTATTTAAAAATATCTATGCATGGTGAGACCACGTGACCCCACGGGAATGTCCACTGAGACTAGAATTAATACGGAAATAATCCTACGGGCTAATTGCAAGTACTAGCAAATATGCTTATTACCACTAGATAGAGCTACCTTCATATTTCATTACCCTTCAATACGGCATCTTTATTTGAGATTTATTTGAACATGTGAGCCTCTTAGAGTAACCACGTGCCCCCATCCCCCGCCCTCCCTTTCTGTTGCAGGCACCAGAGCCATAAGCGGCAAGCAAAGTTCATCCAGCAAAGTTCAAGACTTAAGAGGAGAAAAGGAAAAGAGGAAAGACTGAGCTGTGTTTACAGAGGTATTTGTGAGCTCAGCTGTGGAAGGTGACAAAGTACAAAAGTAAATGTACAAAAACTCACGTAGTCCGTAGTTCGTTTGATTTCTTTTATTTGCAGATTTTCAGCGTATGCAGTTCAGTGCGGTGCGGTGCGGTGCGGTCAAAGACCGTGTCGGTCACCCTCCACAATGCCATTCTCCCCACACACCTGTCTCCCTATTTGACCTGATTATTTGACCTAATTTACCTACCTAGGACACACCCTCTTACGTGGACCCACTCTCTTACGCTATAAACCAAAAGACAAATTGACTGAAGTAACTTAAATTGGGACTGAAAAGAAATCATTTTAACATTTCTATAATTTTAAGAATAATATTTTAATAATTGTTTTTAAGGTATAATAAAATATGAATTTATGGCAAAATATAAAATAACTATTTAATAAATTAAATTATGGCTCTAACATCTCCAGCCCCTAATTGCTGGTCTAGCAATTACAATATTATTAAAAAGTAATAATTTTACATTCTATTTAAAATGTTTCACATTTTATTAAATATTTTTAATATCTGGATGGGGGGGTAGTCAAGTAAGGTCAGGTCAGTAAAATTTGGTTTTGAGGCAGTTTCAAAGTCCATCCATTTAATCTTCATTTTCTAATATTAAGTGGAGTTTGGTCACAGGTCGTTGGAGGATACCAGTCTTAGTTTTAATGAGGGCACTTCGTACCAATCCTTTACTTCCAGGTTGTGTTTGCAGGACTCTTCCTAGGATCCATGAGTTCCTGGGAGCAGTGTGGTCAGCAATGACAACAACATCGCCCGGTTGTAAATTTCTTTTCACTTTGTTCCATTTGACTCTTTGTTGCATGAATGGGAGATATTCTCTAATCCATCTTTTCCAAAAGAGATCTGCCAAATATTGGACTTGCCTCCATCTTCTCCTGGAGTAAATGTCTTCTTTAGTGAATAGTCCTGGGGGCATTACAGGTTTTGATTTAAGCAGAAGGAGATGGTTTGGTGTGAGCGGTTCCACATCATTTTTATCATTTGTAACTGTTGTGATGGGCCTGTCATTCATTATTGCTTCCACTTCACAGAGCATCGTTTGCAGAGCCTCATCATCTATAACTTGTTCCTTTGTAATAGAGCACAATATCCTTTTCAGAATGCGGATAAGTCTCTCCCATACTCCACCATGATGAGCTCCTGCTGCAGGATTGAATGTCCAGTCTATGCCTTTATTCAGGAGTGTTTCACTGATTTTGTCATGATTTAATTCTTCCAGTGATCTTTTAAGTTCTTTATCTGCTCCAACCAAGTTTGTGCCTTGATCCGATCTGATGCTCAACACTGTTCCTCTGCGACATATGAATCTTCTGATGGCATTTATGCATGAGCTGGTGTCTAGACTATTGGCTACTTCCAAATGAACTGCTCGAGTCTTTAAACAGGTAAAGATCACACCCCATCTCTTTACAGTAGTTCGGCCGCGTTTGGTTTCAAATGGTCCGAAATAGTCCATGCCTACTGTGCTGAATGGTGGCATGTCTGGCAGCACTCTGTCTTGAGGAAGATCTGCCATCTTCTGCTCTCCAGCCGCAGACTGCATTCGCCGGCAATAAACGCAGTATTTTATGATGTTTCGTGCAGCAGCATTAGCAGAAGACATCCAGTACTTTTGATGGAATTTTGACAGCATGTGGTTTCGGCCAGTGTGACCAGTTTGCTCATGTATGTTTCTGAGTATCAGTTTAGAGATGTGGGACTTTTTGGGCACAATAATGGGATTTTTTATCTCTGTGGGCATGGATAGTTTGTTAATTCTGCCACCAACTCTTAGTAGGCCATCTTGATCTAGCTTGGGGTCCATTTTATAGAGTGGACTGTTCTTTTGGCAGTACTTTCCCTGATTAATGAGGTCGATTTCTTGTCTATAGTATTGTTTTTGTTCATAGGCAAGAATACATTGTTCAGCATTTTTTACATCTTTCACTGTCAACTTCTCATTTTCACACAGTTTTTCATCTTTCTTTACTTTTGTCTTTCTCAGAAGCAGTCCCTTGACCTTCAGTATCCATGCAACACTTCTTTTTAGTTTATTCCAATCTGAAAAATATTCCATTAGTTTGCTGGTGGGACTCTTTTGTACAATGTTGACAGTGTTCACAAAAGCATCTTTCTTAATCTCAGGGTCGTCATTTGATACAGCATATTGCATTGCCTTGGCCATTGTGTTTCATCATATGTCAAGAAATCAGGTCCATTAATCCATCTTTTAGATTTCAAGAATGTCTCAATATTCAACCCACGAGAGGCATCATCTGCAGGATTGTGCCTAGAATCAACATATCTCCATTGGTCCATTGAAGACAGTGCTTGGATTACTGCAACTCGATTTGCAACAAAGGTTTGAAATCTTCGTGACTGGTTTCGAATGCATTTCAATACAGACTGACTGTCTGTCCAATAAACAGATTCCTGTAAATCCATTTTCAGCTCTGATTTCAACATGCGATCAACACGAACAGCAAGAGTGGCAGCAGTGAGCTCCAGTCTGGGGATAGTCATTTTCTTTAGGGGTGTTACTCTTGATTTGCCCATTATTAAAACCACGTGGACGTGTCCTGAGCTGTTTGTTAGTCTCAGCTGGCTGTGCCGTACCCCTGCTCGCTTGCATCAGAGAAGTGATGCAACTGAGCTGTTGTTGTTTTACCAAAGTTCTCTGGTTTTAGACATCTGTTTATTTGAAAATGTTTTAGTTGTTCCAATTCAGATAACCACTTTTCATAACACTGACACAATTCACTGGGAATAATTGTATCCCATCCGCACTTAATTTGACAGAGATTTTGCAGGATAAGTTTTGCTTTTAGCACAAATGGAGCTACCAGGCCCAAGGGGTCATAGACAGAGCTTACAGTGGACAGAACAGCTCTTCTGGTAAGTGACTTAGTTTTGACTGAAATCTGGAATCCAAATGTATCATTTTCTATATTCCATGTCATGCCTAGAGCTCTTTCAACAGGTAGTTTGTCTCTGTCTAAATCAAGTTCTTTTATTTGTTTTGCCTTGTTTTCTTCTGAAATAGTAGATAAAACAGCACGACTATTACTGACCCATTTAGTGAGTTTGAAACCTCCTTTTGCACACAGTATACTCAGTTCTTTGACTAGTTGAATAGCCGTTTTTACTGTGGGAACAGATTTGAGACAGTCATCTACATAGAAGTTTGATTTTATTGTTTCGACCGCTGCAGCTGTGAAACTGTGTTTATTGTCCTCTGCTGTCTTTTTCAGTGCAAAATTGGCGCAGCTTGGTGAAGAAATGGCACCAAATAAATGCACTTTCATCCTGTACTGCTCCAGTGGCTGGCTCACATCTCCATTTGGCCACCACAGAAATCGCAACAGATTTGAGTCCTTTTCATTCACTCTTACCTGGTGAAACATTCCTTCAATATCTGCCATTAAAGCAACTTGTTCCTTGCGGAATCTGAGCAACACTCCGAGCAGTGAGTTGGTCAAATCAGGTCCTTGAAGCAGCTCTTTATTGAGGGATATACCCTGGAACGAGGAAGTACAGTCAAAAACAACTCTGAGTGTCTTTTTGCGCTTATGATAGACACCATGGTGGGGTATATACCACACCTTGCCATTTTTTATGTGCAGATCTTTTAATGGTACCTTTTCTGCATATCCTTTTGTTATGATGTCTTCCATAAATGTTTTGTACTCCTCTGCAAAACTGTCATTGTGTTTGAACTTTCTGGCCAGATATTGAGCTCTTTGTTCAGCAATGTGATAGTTATTCGGCATCACAGTGTCTTTGTTGCGAAGTGGCAAAGGTAAGTAGTAGTGATTGTCTTTCAATGTTGCCTGTTGTGACATCATATTCATAAACTGTGTGTCTTCCACTGACATTTGGGGCTTTTCTTCATATTCTTTTTCAGGAAAGTCATGGCTGTACTGTTGCATTAGAATAGACTCCAGGTTTTCAACTGAAATGCGGTTTACTGATGTCACAGGTCTACCATGTTTGTCCACAGCTGCAGAATTGAGTGGCCCATTCACCACCCATCCAAGTAAAGTTTTTACAGCATAGGGTCCATTACCTTGGCTGTTTATAATCTGCCACGGTTCCATAGCCTTTGGCACATCTACTCCTATCAGGATTTCCACATCCGCATCAATTTCTTTAATTTCAATGTCTTTCAGGTAAGGCCATTTGTTAATGTCAGTTTGTGTGAATATGTTTGCTTTTGTTACAGGAATGCTTGTCTGGGTATATGTCTTTTCCATTTCAATGAAGTTATTGCCACTCATATCTCCAACCTGTAAACCATTTATTTCATAACTGTTCACTGGCTTTCTTTGTCCCATTGTTTGCAATAAAACCTGTGTCTTTTTTCCATTGATGTTTAGCTGTCTCATAATATTTTCGGTACAAAATGTAGCTGTGCTTCCAGGGTCAAGAAAAGCATATGTTAATATTGTCTTGTCTCCTTTTGCTGCTTTTAGTTGGACAGGTACTATTGATAATTTGTAGTTGCTTCCAGCCCCAGTATCAGAACTTGTTTTTCTTTCCATTGAGAATAATGTGCCACTGACTGATTGTTTTTGTTGCAGATTTTGACTGTCCATCGCGTTGTGTATATGTAGCACACTGGGATGTCTACCTTGACAGATCTCACACGTCATTCTTCTTTTACATAATTTACTCAGATGACCCTTGTTTAAACAACCAAAGCAGATACCATTATTTTTAAGCAGCTGTACCTTTCCTTCATGTGTCTGTGATTTTAGTTTTTCACATTGATCCAAAGAATGATTTGATTTCCCACAAATACAACAAAGTGTTTTACAGTTATTTATTGACATGACAAAACTGCTGCTTTTGTTTTTCTGAGGGCGCAGTTGAGGCTTAGAGTCTACTGCCACTGTAGCTTTTGAATAGGTTTTCTTTGAGACATCTTGAATTTCACCAAACAGAGGGTCCTGCAAGATACTGGCCTGTCTTTCAATAAATGCCACAAGATCAGGAAAATCTGCTCGTTTTTTATTTGTCTCTAAGAGTTCATATGCCACTGTTCTCCACTTTTCTTTGAGTTTATATGGCAATTTGGACAGAATCAGTTTTAAATTTGATGGTAGATTTAATTCTTGCATTGCTTTTAACTGTCCCATTGTATTGCAGCATCCTCTCAGATAAAGTGCATATGCATGCAGAGCATTGCCATCATCAGTTTTAATACTGTTCCAGTTAAGAGCCTTTTCGATGTATGCATTTGCTATTTTGATTTCATCACCAAAATGTGTTTTTAAAAGTTTCTGTGCTTCTTTATAGCCCACATTTGCATCCATGTGAAAACAGCTCCTTACAAGCTCTCTGGCTTGGCCACTTGTATATTGTTCCAAATAATAAAGTCTGTCATCATCATTATTTGTTTTACTCTCAATGCCATATTTAAACGCTCTCACAAATGTCTGAAATTGTAATGGATTGCCATCAAACACTTGTATTTGTCTAGAGGGGAGTGAGGACTGTTGCTGCTGTGACATTAGAAGACTTGTGATGTCATTTTGTTTTTGAATAACAGAAAGCAGCTCTTTAGATAGGGAAGATTTGTCTGTGCTTGTGCTACTTTCAGAACCACTTTCACATTCAGATGGAGGAACTCTGACATGTACTGGTGTAGCATTAGATTTATATTCTTTGGATGATGTTCCAACGTTGGCTGGTTCATTTACAAAACGTTGAAGAGGAGTCTTGGGTATTGTACCTATATCAGGATATTTAGCAGATGAAGTTTCAGAAATACCCATAGATGCATTGTATTCTTTGATACTGGTGATATTTTGATCATGTTTGATTTTACTTAGTGCTTTGTGTGACATTGCATTTTCAGGACTTTGAACATAGCTGTCCAGAACACTTAACCTGGCATCAGATGCAGCTATATTTGCTGCGAGCTCCATTTCCTCCAGTTTAGCAGTTATTCTGGCCTTTTCAATTTCCATTGCATGTTTCTCTGTTAATACAGCCATACGAGCCTCCATAGCAGCTTTTTCAGAGACCAATCTCAGACGTTCTTTTGAGGCACCAGAGTTTTGAGATTTACTTGATTTTGTGCTTTTTGTTGACACATTTGATATACTGTCTTTTGGCTCCACCAAGACCTGTGGGTCTGGAACCATAATCCAAGCTTCCACATCCATCATAAATGTATTGAATATTTCCATTTTAGGTTCATACCAGTCAATCGTCTCATTTTCCTGTATTTCTAGAGGTAAAAGTTTTTGCACTGCTCCATGACATGTTTTAAACTCATTTAATGACACTTTGAATTGTTCAAAAACATTTGCAACATAGTCCATATTTTGAGGATTTGACATGAGAGCTTTAATTTCATTCATTCGTCTTGTACATGCACCCAGCTTTCCTCTCCGACTGGCGCTGAGCCTTTTGAGGTCATTTTCAGTTTCGTTGTTCTGCACAATGTCGTTTTGAGCATTTTCCTCCTCATTTCCTTGTTCCACAATTTCATCCATTTTTCACAAATTCGTTCCAGTTTTAATTAATTTCCTTTACAATCCACACATTTGATTACTTCGTGCGTATTTGTTCACTTTTCCAGAGCGCACGGTAGCGCTTGAGTTTACTCACGGCACGCAAGCCTTGTGTCTTTACGCATCCAGCGGCGCGGCGTCTTTGATTCATTCATAATTCCAAACTTGTGTCCGCGTCGCAGCGTCTTGACTCCATCCAGCGCAGGCTCGGATTCCAGCGTAGCCGAGGTCTTTGACTTTGTTATGGCTTCTAGTTTAACATGAGCTGTAACACATGTAAATAGCCATCCTTAGGGCGTCCGCTTCTTGACTCACACGAAATGTACAAAAACTCACGTAGTCCGTGTCATGTTCATGTTATTGCTGAAGAACGAGGCGTGTTTTGTGTTCAATAATTCCTTCTTTTTAATACCCCGTAATAACGGTGAACTCTCATGTACAAGTGCTACACTACTTCTGTTAACAACACATACAGATAACACTGCGGCGCCCCCGTGTGGCACACGCCATTATAGCTACTGATCATAACATCCCCCTTTCTTTGAAGATGAACAATACACAGTAGTATTAAAATGACAAAATACTTTTTTTTTTTTAAACGTTACCAAATAGCTAATAATGAACCATTAGCAAAATGTATGGAGCAACAATGCTCAAATAAAATGAAAGTACCTTAGAACAAACACCTTTTTTTTTTTTTTTTTTTAAACATTTCTTTTCAACCTTATAAGTTCAGTCGGTCTGGTTTCTTTACTTCCCGTGTCGACCTTCTCAGTTCTTGTTTATCTGGTATAGAGTTCGCATTACAGTTCATAGGAGGTGCAGAAGGTGGATCTGGGGGAGCATCACTGGGCTCACTGGCTGTTGGTGGAGTCTTAAGGAGACTGCGGCGATTACGCCGAAGCACCTGTCCATCCTCAGTTCTCACTGTGAATGATCGTGGAGCCACCTCCTGTAACACAATTCCTCTTGAGTTCCAGCCATCAGCATCCTCGATCCTGACTGTGTCGTTCCTCGCAAGAGAAGAGAGTGATTTGGATGAAATGTCATAAAATGCCTTTTGTTTCTTTTTCTGTTTGAGTTTGTTGTTCAGTTTTGCATGTTTCCTTTGTGAAATAACCCTTGTGTAGCTAGGAAGCATTGTGCGCAATTTTCTGTTCATTAATAGTTCTGCAGGTGACAGTCCGCACTCAAGTGGAGATGCACGATAACTGAGAAGTGCCAGGTAAGGGTCAGAGTTACTATCCGCTGCTTTCTTGAGCAGCTGTTTCAGAATGTGGACACCTTTCTCAGCTTGTCCATTTGACTGTGCATAATGTGGACTTGAGGTGACATGGCGGAACTCGTACTGCTCTGCAAACTTCTGCCATTCCCTGCTGCTGAAACATGGGCCATTATCACTCACTACGATTTGCGGGATGCCATGTCTGGCAAATATCGACTTGGTGTGAGTGATCACGCATGCTGATGATGTATTTGTAAGTAGTGCCATTTCAGGAAAGTTGGAGAAATAGTCTATGACTACAAGATAGTCTTTGCCTTTAAGGTGGAACAGGTCCATTCCAACTTTGTGCCAAGGTGATGTGTGTGCTGTTCCGGTATCACCATTGGCTCTTTGCTCTGCCTGCTCCTGTGTTTTTGGCAAGTTTCACATTTACTCACCAGAGTCTCAATGTCTTTGTTTAATCCAGGCCAGTACACTGACTCTCTCGCCCTCCTTTTACATTTTTCAATGCCAAGATGTCCTTCATGTATCCTGTTCAAAACATCTGGCCTCAAGACTTGTGGGATAACTATCCGTTCTTTCTTTAGTAAGAGTCCATCAACAAAGCTCAATTCTCCTCGGACATGGTAGAAGTGGGGACAAGAACCAGCAGGCCATCCTTCGTCCATGTTCTGAATGACACGCTGCAGTTCTGTGTCCTGTGATGTTGCTTCAGCTATTTGTCGTGACTTTGCGTCAGATATAGGCAGTGCACTTGACACAAAGTTAATGTGGCTTTCAATGTCCTCATCTGTGGTACTCACACTGTTTTCAGCAGGTGCTCTGGACAGGGCGTCTGCAAGCACCAGGTGTTTCCCAGGTGTATAGATCAGTTCAAAATCATATCTTTGCATTTTCATCATTAAACGCTGGATCCTCGGTGACATTTCATTTAGGTTTTTCTTAATGATGGAGACCAAAGGGCGGTGATCTGTTTCCACCGTGAAAGATGGTAGTCCATAAACGTAGCTGTGAAACCGTTCCAGTCCGTAGGCCAAACCCAAACACTCCTTTTCAATTTGAGCGTACTTGCTCTCTGCTTTTGTCATGGCCCTTGACGCATAGGCTACTGGTTTCCAGTGTTGATCCTCAGCTTGCAAAAGTACCGCTCCAATTCCATCTTTGGATGCGTCAGTTGATACTTTGAGCTTTTTGGTGTGGTCATAGTAGGCTAAGACTGGTGCTGTAGTAAGAGTCTGTTTAAGTCTTTGCCATTCTTGCTCATGTCTGGTAGACCACTTAAAGTCACAGTCATTGTGCAAGAGCTCACGGATGCAGGATGTCTTTGCTGTGAGATTAGGAATGAATTTGCCTATGAAGTTGACCATTCCCATAATGCGCAAAACGCCTGTCTTGTCTGTTGGTCTTGGCATGTTCCGTATCGCTTTTATTTTGTCTTGATCTGGTTTAACACCTTTGGCTGTGAGTTTGTCTCCCAGAAAAAGAATCTCCTGCACTGCAAATTCACACTTGGCTCTGTTGAGTTTTAGGCCATGTTTTTGAATGCGTTCCATCACTTTGTATAGTCTTTGATTGTGCTCCTGGAGAGTTGAGCCCCATACAATTATGTCATCTATGTAGACTCGAACTCCCTCTAAGCCCTCAATGATCTGTTCCATTGCTCTGTGGAATATTTCTGGTGCTGACTTTATTCCAAATGGCAGTCTAAGAAAACAATACCTCCCAAAGGGTGTATTAAAGGTACAGTACTTTGTGCTTGTCTCATCAAGTCTTAACTGCCAAAACCCTTGTGATGCATCAAGCTTTGTGAAATAGCTAGCTCCTGCCATTTCACTTATTATTTCCTCACGTGTAGGTATCTGATAATACTCTCTCTTGATGTTCTCGTTCAGATCTTTTGGATCCATACATGTTCTTAGCTCTCCATTCTTTTTCTTTGTGACCACCATAGAGTTGACCCAATCTGTGGGCTCCTGAACCTTTTTAATTACACCCAGATTGGTCATTCGGTCTAGTTCTTTTTTGAGAGAATCACGCAGTGGGGCTGGGACCCTTCGAGGTGCGTGTACAACTGGCTGTGCCCCTTCTTTTAGCTGTATTTTATATATGTAAAGGGCAGTGTACCAAAACCTTTGAAAACATCTGTAAACTGCTTTACTATTGAGTCAGTATCGGATTTAACATGTTTCTCAATACAGTACACTCTTTTGACCAGCCCCAACTCTTCACAGGATGTATCACCCAGCAACGACTCAAATTTTTCATTCACAACAGAAAAGTTTATATTGTGTACTTTACCTTTTACAGTTACCTTCAGTTTGCAAGTGCCTAAACACTCTATTGGCTGCCCATTGTAATCTTTCAGACCTGCCCTTTTCTTGTATATTTGTGGCTTTATCTGCATCTCTCTAATGTCAGACATGCTAATGAGATTAGCTTTTGCACCAGTGTCCAGTCTCATAGTAACAATAGTCCCATTTACCTGCAGAGGAGCTAACCATTTGTCCTCATTGGTACCACGGTTAACCTTTTCCTGATCATTTGCACAGTTCACGAGGCCAACAAAGAACGTGTCACTTAAATCTGTGTCAGGACTGTCATCCACGATATTCACATTTCTGCCTTTCTTTCCCTCTTTCTTTTTGGAGAAACATTGTTTGGCAAAATGATTCCTCCCATGGCAGTTGGAGCATATTTTCCCAAAAGCTGGGCATTGCTTTGGCTTGTGCTGTGTTGCGCAACGCTTGCAAAAGAACGCGCCGTCCTCGGTCCGCTGTGCAGGACGGGTCTGTTGTTGGCGACGTCCCCTCTGAAACGACACTGCGCCGACTGCCGCTCCGTCGCTCATAGGTGTTGTGGTGGAGATCTCACTGAACGTTTTAATGTGCTTGTGTGACACTTCGTTCGCTCGGCATATCTTTATGGCTGCTTCTAGAGTCAAATCCGTTTCGCGCAGAAGCCTCTCTCTTAACTTTTTGTCTTCAACGCCAAAAACGATTTGGTCTCTGACCAGCGAGTCTTTCAATGTCCCGAAGCCGCAAGACTGCGCCTTTAAACGCAGCGCGGTCAGAAAACCGTCGAATGGCTCATTCTGAAGCTGTACACGAGATCTGAACATATATCTTTCATATGTTTCGTTTTTCTTTGGACTGCAATGTGCTTCAAACTTTGCAAGTACGACCTCCAACCTCTCAGTATCTTCAGCCGTCTCAAACACGAACGTATTGTAAACTTCAATGGCCTGTGGCCGGGCCAAAGTTAGCAAAAGCGCTACCTTCCTCGCGTCCGGTTTTGTTTCCAGCCCCATTGCAGTCACATACAGCTGAAACTGCTGCTTGAAGACACGCCAATTTTCGTCGACATTGCCCGTCAATTTCAAGTTCTCTGGCGGTTTTAAATCCATGTCGGCTTCTCCGGTGGTTGCTCAGCTTACTCGGTTTACTCCTGGTACCATGTCATGTTCATGTTATTGCTGAAGAACGAGGCGTGTTTTCTGTTCAATAATTCCTTCTTTTTAATACCCCGTAATAACGGTGAACTCTCATGTACAAGTGCTACACCACTTCTGTTAACAACACATACAGATAACACTGCGGCGCCCCCGTGTGGCACACGCCATTATAGCTACTGATCATAACAGTCCGTAGTTCGTTTGATTTCTTTTATTTGCAGATTTTCAGCGTATGCAGTTCAGTGCGGTGCGGTGCGGTGCGGTCAAAGACCGTGTCGGTCACCCTCCACAATGCCATTCTCCCCACACACCTGTCTCCCTATTTGACCTGATTATTTGACCTAATTTACCTACCTAGGACACACCCTCTTACGTGGACCCACTCTCTTACGCTATAAACCAAAAGACAAATTGACTGAAGTAACTTAAATTGGGACTGAAAAGAAATCATTTTAACATTTCTATAATTTTAAGAATAATATTTTAATAATTGTTTTTAAGGTATAATAAAATATGAATTTATGGCAAAATATAAAATAACTATTTAATAAATTAAATTATGGCTCTAACAGTAAAAGTACAATACTTAAGTACACATATTAGGTAGCCTATCTGTACATTGTAAATTTTACAGTGCATACTTTTTACTTTTACTTCACTACAATTGAGAGCGTATATCTGTACTCACTCCACTACATTTTACAACTGGACTGAAAAGTAAACACTATTCTTTATGGTTTGAGACCGGCGAAGACTTTTATTTATTTTTTTATTTTTAGCACAATTTAAGTTTCTGTCCTAACTTTGAGCAAATCAAATACACAAAAGCAGCTAGAAAAAATAAGAAATCACTTAAATCACTTAACATCACCACATTTCGTCCTTAAATTGTTCAAAAAAATCTCAGCAAAATACTTCTGCTTTTTACTCTTAAAATACATTTTTAAACAGGTAGACGTACTGTAATACTTTTATTCAAGTTGATTTTCTCATGAGATACTTGATACTTGGCTTTTACTTGAATACATTTTTGCCTCTGTAAAAAACTTCATACACCAGTGCTGACTACTACCATAAGACTGAAATACACTGTCCAAAATAAGACTATATTCAATAAAGATCATCCCGCTGCTCTTACCGTGGTGCCAGAGCTGCCGGGCATGAACAGCTGACTTCAACTTGTGTTGAAATTGCAAACATTTAAAAAGAAACGAGGATGGAAACTGGGATGTGGCTGAGAAAGTGAAACATAGGCTAATATTTCTTCAATACCTTTTATGCAGTAATAGTAAAAAATAATTAATAAATCATTATTAATTCACACTCTTTACAGGAACTGGAGCAGTGCTTTTCACTAATGTGCAACCACAAAATTGCACTAATAACTCCAAACCATACATTTACATTACTCTTTGATGACTGAGTCAAAACGGACAGGAATTGACAAAAACAATTAAATTAAATGTATATGTTCTATCCTAAAGTTTTCTCATCATGGAGAGAAAAATACAAACTAACTGTTGCGTTTGTTAGATTATTTTGCTCTTTGGACATGCTTGAATCAGGCAAAGATAAGTTTTGTCTTCTTTGTGTCTTTTATGTTAACATTTGCGACATAAAAATAACAGCAGCAAGATCCCGCGTTTTTATCCAACAAGACAGTGGAACTGAACTCGACAGGAAGTGAAAAAAAATAAAAGCATTCACAGTACAAAATAAAGTGCATAATAAAGTTAGTATAAAATAATATGAGAACACAAATGTAACACTAACCATTATCCAAGATGGTTTGACTGAATTGTTTTAATTGTTTTAATTAATTTATATATTTCATTAGGCCTATATGTTTTTATTCTTGTTCATGACAAATGTATCTACATCAGGGGTGTCCAAACTTTTTTCATCAAGGGCCACATATCTAAACACAGACAAAGCAGAGGGCCGATCGAGGGCCGTAGACTGATGTTCAGTACAGTGAATAATTGAAATATGTGCAGGTTTAACACGTTAGAATGAGCCGTCAGTCTTTATTCAGGCTAAGATCCTTAAAATCACACACAAATATTCAATATTGGCTTTATCAAGGTAGATTTTCAAAAAACTTGCAGAAAAAAAAATTATAATAATTAATGCAAGGTAATTTGGGCCAATTTACCTAGACGTCTGAGGGCCAAGAAAAATTTGTCTGAGGGCCGCATTTGGCCCCCAGGCCATAGATTGGACATGCCTGATCTACATAAAACCTGTAACATTCACAAAAGCTCCGTACAGAAAACATAACCTACCATAAAAGTAAATAATATGTTTGATTATTTATTATTTATTCCCATGACCGTTCACGTCATGTGACATGTTTATTACCGGAAGTGGGCCGTGCGCTTATGGCTTGGGGCCATGCCATGGGCCATGCCTTTTTTTTTTTTTTTTTTTAAGTACAATTTTTAACTAAAAGCAGTAATAAGAATGTAAATAAATAAGGCTCTTGTCGTGTTCTAAATATAAAATTCGGCTAACTATACCAACATGAACGCTATTTAATTACTGAATTATTTGGTGGAGGATTTTACGCTGAAGGTCGAGAGGAAAGCGTGCTGTTTATTACCCACGGCATAACTGACCATAACATGACTACTAACGTGAGGGGAGGCTTTACACTGTGGAAACTACAGCGGATTACTGCCATTGGAAGAGTCTACAGAAGTTTTTCAGAGCGTAGTTATGTGGCTAATTTGTTTTTCTGCTACATTTGCCGGGTAATAAGGACTGGAACGTAATCATGGCCACGGAAAATGAATGTGAACAGAGAGGTAAGTGATATAACAGTGTAACCAACTATTTAACGCGTTTCATTCTCAGTTACAGCGTGCTTAATCACTTTGAATGACTTAAAACATGTATCAATAACTTTTTAAATAGTTTGTTGTCTGTTCCAGATGTCAGTAATGCCCAGAATGAATCCACAGAACCACCCCAGAGGATGACAAGACAGCAGATCCTCACCCTCATTTCTATAGCATCAGTGAATTTTAGCTCAATGATATGTTACTCCATTTTAGGTCCTTTTTTCCCAAACGAGGTATGCATGTCTGATTAGCCTATGAAATAAAAATAATACTTAAACTACTGGTAGGACAAATAGTCCAAAGTTCATGGTGCAATGATTTATTGTCTACATACAATACTTAAATTGACGAGGTTATACTGGCAAATGCAGACTTTCCTCTTGTGCTTGTAGGCAAAGGGTGTCAGGTGAGTCATCATGTGTAAATATAAGATCAGCTACAGATATGAGGTTGGTTTGATATGCTATGAGCTTAATACAAAGCATACTAACACTATATTGTGATAGAATTCATTTTTCTTTACCAGTACTGATTATATTTTAATTATGTTTGCAAACAGTTACACTCACCCTCTTCAAGTTTAGGAACAGTACAGCAAGACTATACATAAACTTGACAATGTTTCTTTTGGCTTCTTTCCAGGCTGTTAAAAAAGGTGCAAGTCAAACTGACATTGGCCTCATATTTGGCTGCTATGCTGTGTGTAATTTAATTGGTTCATTAATTTTAGGAAAATATGTAAGTTCAAAATGTATTTACAAATATTCCACAGTATTGTTTTTAAGTCTTTAATATGCTTGTTAAATGTCTGTTTCAGATCGTCCAAATAGGTGCAAAGTTTATGCTAATTGCAGGGCTATTTGTGTCATCGGGATGCACCATAATATTTGGGTAAGGGATAAGAAACTTGTGATAGTAAAAACCTAAAATGCATTTAAAATTACATAAACCATGTTAAAAATAAAATTCCAAACAAATTATTATTCAAGAAGATAAATTAGGGTTTACTGAAAAGCATCCTTGAGGAGAGTTTTAGGACTGCAGAAGGAAAAAAAGAAATACAAATGGTGTAGTAATAATTTATAATGCACAGTTTACACATACAGCATTTTACCCAATGTAGCACAGCATGTAACCATGAATATTACTGGAATTAAATATGTTTTAACTTTTGAAAGGGTATTATTACACTAATCTTAATCCTCTGTCCAAATATTCAAACTCTGTGACTTGGTCCTTGATTTGAATAATCCACTGTATTACACATTATCACATTGTGCTTCAGATTAGTTTTTTGAAAAAAATTGAGATTTCAGCATTTGTCTTGTTTCTCTTTCAGATTACTGGACCGTGTACCTGCAGGCCCTCCTTTTATTGCCCTGTGTTTTATAGTGCGCTCCATAGACGCTTTGGGCTTTGCTGCAGCCATGACCTCTTCTTTTGCGATGACGGCAAAAATCTTCCCCAACAATGTGGCAACTGTTTTGGTGAGTGTAGACACCCCTTGTCTGGTTGGTATGTTGTTTTGACGTTTAAATCACGAGAAAACAGGCGGCAAAAGCTGTTATTTTGTGTTGCCTATGACTACCATTGACAATAGTCATACATGTCTTGGTATAGTAAATAATTTGATAAAATAAATTCCACATAGATTTTTTTGTCTTTTTAAAAAAAGAAAAAAAAAAAATTGTCAGATTTTATATGGCAAATGCCCATCTAAATGCAAAGACACTTTACCGTTACGGTAGAGTGCAATGATGGAGTTCCTTGCTGCGCTACTCTATGTTTGATTAAATGTTGTTTTTCTGTGTTTATATCCTCTTCACTGGTTGATTCTTGTCTATAAAAACAAATTAAATGTGTGCCTTTTTGATAACAGTGATTGCAAGATTCTCCAATAAATCAGATGACCTACTTGCCACCAGAAGCATGTCAAATTAATTTTAATATTATTTCCAAATTGAATTGAATCTTGTCTTTGATCTTTCAGGGTAGTCTGGAGATTTTCACTGGCCTTGGGCTGATCCTGGGACCACCAGTCGGGGGATGGTTTTATCAATCTTTTGGATATGAGGTCCCATTCATGCTTCTCGGCTGTTTCCTCTTAATTATGGTCCCTTTCAACATTTACGTCTTACCCACTATTGGTAAGCAATTTGACAATCTACCATCCTTTGAATGTTTCTGGGGTTCTGTCTGAATGATACACAATTTTATTTAAGGATTTGTTGTGAGTATCGTATGTATTATTGTTAGAATAAAGGGGTAATTTATCTTGAAATACCAATCTATTTCTTGGTACTAAAATTATACTCAGCATTTGAAAAGCAATCTACATTTACCAAGTGCTGTTTTATTTTTTTTAATCGTAGTTTGCAATTCATTGTTGTTGTTTTTTTATACATTTCATCTTCATTTCTTTTTTTTTTCCTTTACAGATGCAGATCCGTCCAAAGACTCTTTTTTCCGTCTTCTGACCAATGTAAAAATACTACTTATCAGCTATGTCATATTCACATTAAGTGCAGGCTTAGGTTTCCTGGATGCAACATTGTCTCTTTTTGCCATTGAAAAGGTACTTTTCTACACATTTACTTATATGACAACATAAACAAATAAATAACCGCTCATGCCATTGTATTCCCAGTTCAATCTCTCCCCAGGCTACGTTGGCCTCATTATGCTTGGCTTGTCTTTACCTTACTGCCTGGCATCTCCACTAATGGGTTATTTCACTGATAGATATCCTGTGAGTATTAACAGTACATTCATAAACATGTTATGTTAATTATGTTTTCAAGTCTATTATTTTTTTATTATTGTCCATTCCTGTATTATAGGCCACCAGGAGTTGGTTCATGGTGACTGGGGGGTTCGCCACTGCACTTGGTTTCTGTCTGCTTGGTCCTGCTCCATTTTTGAATATTTCTGGGTGGGAGTCAAATTTTGATTTATGTAGTAGTTTTGAGGATGTTTAACAATTTAAAACATTTAAATTTTTTAAAAACAATTTAAAAAAAAACAAACAAAAAATTATAACATACAAGTGAAAAAGCAGTCTTGGCTCCAGAACATAGCTGCTATATGTTTCCTGAGTGGGTCATGCCATGGTTATAATACAATTAAGATGTTGCTCTCCTCCCTGTTTTGCATGTGTTAGGCCACTGTGGCTGCTGGTTGTCATGCTGGGTGTAATTGGGTTTTCTCTGGGCATGACTGCTCTCCCCACGTTCCCGGAGATCATCACATGTGTGTAGTGAGTGCCTTCACATGTTCTCCTGCTACATTCACTGCTTGGGGGATGAGCTCCAGGCAGACACACAATAGGCCTCAAAGTAACACTGTGTCTGTTCTTCAAGTGACCAAGGATTTGAGGAAGGCCTTAGCACACTGGGGATGGTGTCTGGCTTGTTTGGAGCAGTTTGGTCCTTTGGGTAAGATAAGAGACCCTTTATTTCTCCCGTAATGGAGAAAGTCCAGTGTTGAAACAGTCACACCAAGAGAACATAAGTAAGCACTCAAAAATCAAAATAAATTAACACTAGAAAATAGACTTAAAATGAACACAACACTGCAATTATATAATAAAAATAGTGTGGGGTAAGTGGGGTAAGGTCATGGTTTATGCTTTATTCTATTAAATGTCAGTAAATAAATTCGAGTTAGTTCTCCTGACATCCATTTTAAATGCGTTCCATTGCAACAGTTAGGGAAAATATGGATGCCCGAGAAAGTTTAATGTCCAGCCGACTCAGTCTGAGTTTGTGTTTCGAAACCCAGATTTGATTGGCCTTTCCATTGCACTTTCTCGAGATAGCGGTATTTTCAGCTAGTGGAGGTTGGTTTTACCCGAGTCCTGAGCACAATACAGTGCGCCACCAGACATGCAACTTTGAAATATAAGTTAATAAGCAACAATTAAAGAAAAATTTTATAAAAACCTCAAATGCCTTTTTAATAGCACACAAAATGTCTGCTCTCACTTATTTTGAAAAACCTATTTACAAAGCAAGAATATCGCGATTCATGTGGTATATGTTTAGAAAATGTTTGTCAATTCAGTTCATATAAAATTCTTATCATGTCATTTATGTTTTTAAAATAATGTCTTGCTCCAAATGCTCAAAATAATTGGAACTTGTATGTCTTAGAAAAGATATTTACGTTTACCATTTTCAGCATGTTTTATGGACCCATCGTCGGTGGTCTTATCACACAGAACCTAAGCTTTGAGTGGGCAGCAGTGATACAAGGAGGACTGGGCTTTTTAGCTGTAAGTACTTTATCATAGAACCAGTGTTGAATTTTGTATATGAGCATTAGAATCTGACTCTAGTAGTCTTTAGTCCAATCTTTTAGCCTTTGCCAGTCCCGGTTAATCTTAGTGGTGTGTAGTACTAGCAGTAGTAATCAGTGCACAGTATGTTAAAACAATAACGCTTCAAAGCAGTAGGTGTAGTGATATAGTTATAGAGATAGTGTTACAAATATGCAATGTGATATTTTATGCAGCAAAAATAAAGATTTGTAGATAAGAACCCTTTGTTCTTGTGTCCTAGGCATTTCTACTGAGTTTACACTACATCTTTCACAAACCACGACCGCAAAGGTAAAAATGAACTCACTTACATTACTCATTTAATAATGAGTGCATTTACTCTCTCATTTGTTATTGCGTCTTAAAGATTTGTGTAACACTTTCCCTCTTTGTTTTCATTAAGCCAAATGTCTGAACAAACAACAGAAGAAGAAACCACTCCACTTCTGAATACATGAAGATCAAAATATTAAGACATGAAGTCATAGAAAGTATTTGGTACTGCTGATGGTGATGATTAGTTTACCATCATCATTTGGTAGTTACAGGCATAACTGCTCTCTACTGGACGGACACTGGTATTTCTTTAAAATTTTCACATGTGCCTTGGATCTTGAAATATCTTCATAGATTGGTTAAGTTTAGTCCAAATTTCTGATCAACTGAATTTGAGCAGCTACTCTGTTTAGTGTCAGTCTATGAAAATGTGAAGAGCGGCAATTTTCTCTGTAGTTTTTGTACTTCTTAGACTTCTAGACATATCCACAAGTACTGCCTAATATCAGAGATTATATTAAATATGATTTATGTGTCTGATCGTTCATTCGTGGGAACTTTGGAGAGAGGGAAATTTGGAGGAATGAATGAGAATCTTTCACAATGGTGCCTTTTGTTAAAGCAGCAGTGTCACATGACTACTTTGACTGGTTGTTTTATTTTAAGTTATTTAACTCTATTTGTGTATTGAATATATTTCATGATTGAGGAGGTCCTAATAAATAAAACAAGTATACACATAATGACTTTTAGTTTATATATTAGACAGAATGCATTTGTTTGTAAATCATTAAATAATCCTTTTATGGTTTGTAATCAAAATCTTACTCCCATGTTTTAAGTGTTGGTAACACAATATGTATGGACATAGTATGAAATGTATTAGTATAGTGGGACTGTATTGTAAGGCATATTTATATGGCATATTATCAATATGATGTGTGTACCAGTTTTTAGAGTGATCAGATCATATTTAAAGAATGCAAATGTTTCCATAATTTATGTGGATGCAGCTTTTGTGGCTTTTGTGGCTACCTGGCTCACACACTAAGCTTGAGCGCAGTTTTTAACATCATGTTATGGGATTTTAACCAACTAAGAAGTGCATCAAATGCAATTCAAAGCCACAATAAGGAACTGCTGGATTTTATATATATCCATATATTGACAAAGAAAAATCTAAAAACGCTATAAAGATTATTCTTACTTCAGTTTTAAGAATGACAAAATATACACAAAGTAAAATTTTCTAGTTTACAAAAATACAAAAGAAACTAGATGCATTATGTTTAAAAGTGTAAACAAATTAATACAAAATAGCACTGTTTTGCAAATAATTACTTTTTTTTAAATATGAAAATGTCCCTTTGAGTTCAGGGATCAGGTTCAAAGGCACCATTGGTCTTTCCACCGGGTCTCTTTGGCAGTGGTCTTCCTGAAGTCCGGACTGGTTTGTCTAAAGTCTGGATGGTCCTGGTGCTGGGACCTGCCACATCTGCCTCTGAAAGTGTCCCCCGAGATGAAGACATGGACAACAAGCCAGGCTTTTTCAACTTCTTCTTTCTTTTACTTCTGTCAAAAAGAAAACAAACCATAGTAGTTCGTATGTCCCAAAAACATTGTTTTCTACTTTGCAAGGTCTGGTGTCCTAAATGTATTTTAGACTCATCTTACATAATCTTGCTTCATATTTATCATGTTGGGGTATTGAGTTATTTACTGATTATTGTTCCTTTAGCAACTTTTGTTGTTTAGTTTGTTCTAACAACGATCTACTGGTTTTCTTAGAAGATTTATGCAGTTTTCAGGATGCGTTCACACTGGCCGTGGTTTGGTGATTTGAACAAGTTCTAGTACTGGTTTAGTTGTGGTCTAGTCCAAGTTTAGTTAGAGACATTTAAGTGTTTAAATTTGTATATTTGTATAGACAGTGTCACTTACTTTGTGCTGATCAGCTCCGGCTCTGTGTCCGAAAGAGTTGGTTCAGAGAGAAACCTAAGCTCCCCAGAAGAGCTAATGGCAGCTGACACCTTAAAGTGGTGAAGCAAGAAACAGTCCACCATCACCAAGTTATAGTACCCAGTTATATAACCCAGAGAAATGACAGAAGAGGAGTAACCAGCAATATAGATGTAAATTAAATGTAGATTTCTTACTCTTGTGGGTGTGGAGCGATCCGCGGTTCCTTCAGACAATGCAGCTTGAGTCTCTACTCTCTTTGATGCATCTTCGTTGTAGTCCCCTATGACATTTCACAAACATTAAATTTAGGTTGCTTTAGGAACAATGAGAGCCTAATAATGCAAACAATGGAACAAAACACAACTCTGGGTATGTTTTGGATGAGCTCACAAGAATACTCATATTCTCAGAGATACTTGAAAGTATCAAAAGTTTAAAAGAGCATTACAAGTTTAAGGTTTCTGTGTCTTCTGTATACACTGAACTTACTCTCGTCCATCACATATGAAGCCAAGAAGTACCCCTGCTGCCGATTGGAAAGTTGTCCAAACCACCAGTTCTCATTGTCCTTATAAAGCACCTGGATCACGTCCCCTCTGTGGATTGTGAGCTCATCCGATCGACTGGCTTTGTAGTCGTAGAGAGCAATAACCTAAAAAAAGAGAAATAAACCATATAATGTATTTAAACTGAGAAGACAGAGGTAACATGATAAATGGTGTTTAGTTTCAAGGTGTTAAGTTACTTACAATGGGTGGGACTTACCACTTGTTCAACTTGGGAAGCATCTGTAGTTCCAAGAATAGCTGAAGACACACTATCACGCAGTGTCTGGAAATAGGGAATAGAAATTATATTTTCCCAAAAAGTACATAAATAACATCATGCTTACCCTTGGAAGTCTGAATGAAGCCGCTCCTCTCAGACGTTGGCCCACTGGAGTAAAGCCACCTGAAAAAAGGCAGAAAATGCACATGTTTTCCAAATGTGTTCCTGATTAACCAACCACTTTTAAACTTACGGACACAAGTGATAACAGTAAGTGGTCCGTCTGGGTCCCTCTGTACAGTATACATGCTTCGGGATTACTACTACCCACACTGTACTTAAAGGAAGTGTGCTGGACTAATACACAGAAATATGTGGCTTCTGCAAGTTGAGTATATTAGGTTAAAGGGGACCGTGTTATTAACCGTTTCAGATACTCACGGTTGTGTGTGCTCAGAGCGGCCTGTGGGATAAGCTGCTCGGTCAGGACCCCTGAGAGCTGCAGCTTAGAGTGAGGAGACATGAGAGAGGGAGGAGGCAACGGGCTCTTTAATCCCATCTAGGCAAAGAAAGAATGTGTACTTTTAATTGTATAGACTTGAATCTGAAAAAAAGTTATAAGTCGTACAAGATAAGTCAAATAGTCTTTCATTATAGTTATTGCAAAAACGCATTTAAGATATATGTATACAGTATTTTAAAGCAAATCAGTAGTATTTAGGTTTTTTTGTTGGTGTGCTACCCAGTAACCAATAATAGAAAAAAATAAAGTGAAGTATACATAAAAAATAGGACTGTTGCAACCTTCTTTGTCACCACTTTGAGTGATGAAACGCATGACTAGATAAACAAAAGCACTCACCATGCCAGTGTCAGTCGTCAAGCCCCATCCAAGGCCTTTTCTGTCTGTAAGAAACAGTACAAATTTGACTATATAGATTGAGACGAGTTTGTTCTTGTACCAGGCTGAATAATTTTACCTTGTTCAAAAAGTAATCCAGAATTTGAGGACCTCTGATGTGTTTCCTAAAAGATGTTATAGGGGTTAGATAAAAAAAAAAAAATGTATGAAGTTATTGTCAAATATGTGAAACTGTATAAAGTGATGGAAACTGACTAGCACTGAGTCCAGTTGCTCTTTAACAGTTTGCATTCGCAGGGCCAGTCTGGTGGATTGGGCAAACTGGTCCAGAGCTGCGGAGGACGAGATGGGCGTGTCCGGGTGCAGTACAGAGTCCGGGGTGTTCCTCACAGTCCTTGGATCTACGGAAGTCGCTCGGCTCAGTCCCTTTATATTGTGCACCTCTAGCTGAGAAACTGAGATAAAACAAGCATAGACCATAATGTAAAGTAAGTAGTGTGAACATTTTTGTCAGTCTGGAATATGGTTGGCAAGTGGTGAGGTTGTTTTTTTTTCAGTAAAGCAGGAGACAGTAAGCCTGGAACATGCCATGCTTACATTTGTGAGTGTTTTTTTTTTTCAAACGGTCTCTATATAACAAAAGTAATGATGTTTTTATTGCAGACAGAAAATACAAATAGATCTAGATTTGTAAAGCCAATGACTGGTTGCTGCAGTAGTATAAATTTCTGAAATGGCAAATAAATTAAAATTGCAAATGAATTTGCAAATGAATTGCAAATTAAATAAATGGCAGTTAAATGCATTATAATATGGTGAATAAGACTGATTGACAACTGACTAATACATGAAATGGGATGAACCTTTGCGGTCGTAAATATACACATGGATGGGCTGGCTCTGTCCGAAGGTGCAGAAGGCCACCATGTTTTCATGAGGATGGAAGGACACCCCATGGAGTGGAGAGGGGTAACAGAGCTCTGAGTACACTGCCACCTGGTCTCCTGTAATAAGAAAAGCAGACTAAATAAATAAGTAACAAGACAGGTCCATCCAAGAAAAGATACAAAAACTTCTGTGCGCACCAGTGTCCGTGTTCCAGACATACGCCATGCCATCTTCACTTCCAGAGAAAATGAAGTTACCACATGGTGTGAAAGTGCTATAGATCCTCTCTTTGTAGTTTGTGGCACCTGTGTATTTCTTTACAGCCAAACTGAGAAGGCAAAATCAAGTGTTTCATTTTTTTTCACATTTTCTACATCTGATAAAAACACATTGACATTACTGACCCCTAGGGGTGTTAAGTTCTTAAGGATCATAAAAGGTACTATGTGGATTCTTAATGCAACACTTTGAAATTGACTGTTTTTGACACAACATTCAAATTCAATAACTGATCATAAAAGTCTTTGCGCACTTGGATAAAATTTTGTATATTTTCCTACATGTCACACTTTACACACACATATTTATTTATAATGTATTATTTTTCTATGTTAATACAGGGAATCAGCCCCTATTATTTTATGATAGCTCTGTATAATTGTTTTTGTGACACAGTGTATATTATGATATAATTTTGAGTTAAGAACACAGTTAATATGTATTTTAGAGAGAAGATTATTGTAATTACATTCTCAAATCAATCATTCTCAGGACACTGTCTTTGGCATGGATCAGCAGACAGCGCCCATTTGGATGGAGCTGCAGCTTGTTGATAGGAACACCTCGGAGATCTGCCTCTTCAATTTTCTGTAAACAACAAAAAGGGTAAACAAACAAATAATAATTGTTCAAAAACCAATACACTGTATATAGTCAATCTGAATGTGTTCCTTACCCTTTCTATGCACCAGTGCTGACAGGGCTGACGATAACTGTCTTTCACCAAACTTTGCCAAACAATTATTGTACCAGCATTATCTGCAGAAAACATTCTCCCTCCCTCTGAGTCAAAACAAATGTTGTTGATGAAGCTTGATTGTCCTTCAAACTCGTGCAGTAGTTGCCCATTCACATCTTGTACGTCCAGTCTCCAGACACGGATGAGACTGTCATACCCTCCAGTGACCACTAGGCTCTGGGCGGATGGGTGATACTGAGCACTGTACACAAATGAGGGGTGAGGGAGCACCTTCCGGGCATTTACTGACAGTCTTTCAATGTCCCACTCTCTGTCAAAAATGAACAAAACTTTGCAATTAGAAAGAACACTTACTCCCCCAAGTGGATGAAATTAACCAGGTTCAAGAACAAGATATTAAAGAACAAACAATCTTGCCTGAATATAATAATTAACACAATTAATACTTATTTAGAAATTAGTCCCTCTGCAATTCTATTAATTCAATCTGATAAATACTGCTGTTTGGCCAGGATACAACAAATATAATAAAATAAAATGGACATATTCTGACCTGACAGTTCCATCAGAAGAAGCAGACAAAAGTCTTTTGTCATCTCTGGACCAGCAGAGATCATAGACTATTTTAAGGTGTCCATTGAAGGCAGCCAAAACTCTACCAGAAGGGATCTCATACACTGGAAAAAAAAAAAAGACCAAAAAGTGACCAAAACATTTCTACAATACTGTACATTTACATTTATTATATTATTAAAACAGTCACTGACCCACAACAGGGAAAGCATCTCTGTCAGCACACGCAGCTGCCATTATGGTCCCCGCATTAGAGAAGAGCACAGTGAAGCAGCCCATCTGACCACCACGAAATGCTAACATGGACTTATTAGGAATCCTACAAACCTATTAAGACCAAAACACTACATAGTAAAACATGACCAGAATTATTTAGATTTACCAATCCAACGGCCTGTAAAACAATAAAATGTAAAATAAATCCCTCTTGATCTCGTTACACACCTGGCCGGGGAGCCGACTCCACTTGAAGATTGGCGGTTTGTCGTCCAGAGCCTGAGAAATGCTTTTCCTTGTCACTTCATTCTGGAGCTCACTGTAAGTAGTGCTGCCCCTCTCCTCTTGTAATGCCATCATTGAACGCATAGTTGGGTCCACCTAGAATACAAAAATAGTGGAAATGTGGAAAACTGTAGATTTTAAAGATCTCTCCAAGAAAAATAAATAAACCAATTTACATGCTCTGGAAGTTTAATCCCTTTCACTGTAATATAAAGTGTGGATGGATATTTGTGTCTAGGGTACTTTTTCCACCACTCAACCACCTCAATAGTTTTTGGTTGCCTTCTGGCTCGGACTGGAGGGCAGAAAAGTTGGAGGCGGAGCTTACTGTCAATGTTCAAGACACCATTTGTTCCTACAAGCTATAAAAAACATACAAATATAAGAACACAATTGATACAAAATATAAACTGATTTGGTCTACATTCCTTGTTATGTGATGTATATAACGTATAAACTTCACATCCAGATACCTTAAGGAATGCCCATGCTATCTTTTTAAATCCCAGCTCATGTTTGTGGCCGTCGACATTGGCTCTTGCTGCTTCTTCCATGCTCATAATTTCCAAGATCTAAAAAAGCAAAAAAAACAATTAAAGTCTTTTTACTAAATTCTTCATACTAAAATATTGTTGTTAATGTAATGCTACTCACTTCAAAGAAAAGTAAGACTCTGGGGGTCTCCTCCTGGTTTTCCACAAACCAACCAAAGCGTTCATTGAAGATGATTTGTTCCTGCCACTCGGGGATGACAGTTTTGTTTTTCTTAAAGTCGAATGGTTGAGTCATGATGGGCAGGATATGATCTACACTCTCACTTTCATAAAAGGAGGACACTTGGCGATGACTATAAAACAATAGAAAAGTCCAACAATACTCTCACTCAATACTCAACACTATTAAAGGTATTATTAGGTACTGTAACCCATGAGAAGGTATATAGTGTATTAGGTATCTTTTAGGTGGAGCCTCCACAAATGAAACTGCTCTACCTGGAGTGTTCCACTGTATGGCATTAAAATTTATAATTTTCATGGGGACAAGAAGGAGCAAGCACATCTGTGGAGAGGCGACCCCACTCACAATAAGAGTTTTTCACTGTATTTTAAGCAAAAAAAGTGAGAGATGCAAGAGGTAAATAACTTTAATGCTATACAGTAGAACATTTCAGAACATTTAATAATATCTCCACAGAAATAGATGGCAGACCTCCAACCAAAAGGTTTCATAGTGCAGCTTTAACGTCACATGAAGAAATATAATAGGTCATACTGATTCATCTTACCAGTCCTCCTTCTTCACGTACTGGCCTGTGATTTCATCCACTACATGGACCTTGACCATGGGGTGTGAGACGAGCAGGTCTGTTTTAAGGCGGTCTGTGCGGTGAACGTAGACCCCCAGAACAAGACTGTCATCAAATGCTGGTCTCTGTCGTTCTTCTGTGGCTTCAATTTCATTCACTTCCTCTGCAACTACATGGAAGAAATACAACAAAATGAAATGTTATTGACTCTGCACATGACAGCCAATACAAAAACGCATTTTCGACAAAGCCACATCATGGAGACAAGCAGGTGGCAAAATCCTTCTCCAGAAAAGTTACATAGTACAGCTTTAAATCCATAGTACCATGTTTCTTCTTCTTCTTTTTCTTTTTTCCTTTAGACTCTACTTCATTTTCAGTATCAGAGTTTGGGTCTGCATGCTCCTCTTGGCCCCTGATGAAAGAATACTATTATCAAACTTTTTTTTAGGTTTATGGACGTGAGAAATTAATCCCAGTTGATTAGGATGACACGTATATACAGCAAATATACTGTGCTATAAAATTTCATGAATAAATAACATTAGGACTAGAGATTAATTGACATTTTCATAATATAATCAAAGAATAATGAGTTAGAAAACACACTAATAGACTTACCCCACATCAAAGTCTGGTGGGGCAGATTTTAATTTCTTCTTTTTCTTCTTTCCAACATCATTATTGAGTGTTGCATTCTGAGAGACGGTAGTTTCCTCTCCTGCTTTTGTCTGTGCCTCCTCCTGTGCAATCTGCTGCTGGTAATCAAGCAAAAGTTTGTCCTCTGCATCCTCCAAGTGTCTTCCTTCTATGTCCTGATTGTCGCCTTTGGCTCTCCCCTTTTTACTTTTTCGCTTTGGCTCTTTAAGTGCAGACACATTATCAGTTTCTGAAATTATCTCAAATTTGGAAACCTCTTTGATGTTGTCATCTGCTGAAGGAAGAGGAGGCAGTCTTCTCTTTTCTTTTTTGCTTTTCTTCTTGACTTTCAAACCCTGAGTCTCCTCTTCGTTTAAGCTGTTATTGACCTTCTCTGATGATTCCTTCTCTCTGCGTTTGTTTTTTGTGAAGCGAGGGCTGCCCTGTTCAGGGTCGTATGTGTTTTGGAGGATAGTGTTATCTTGGTCTGTTTGCTTTTCAAGGTTGAGGTTTTTCTTTAGAGTTTGAAGCTGAAATACCACAGCAAAACGTACAACATTATAATATAGTCAACTACATATGTCAACTATAACTATGACATAGACTGTATATTTGAAGCATAACAGCAGATATGCATAAAACAATATTTTACAAATCAAACACTTGCTTCATTATTCTATGTACACATAAAAAGTTAAAACATACGGCAATGTCATCTTGTACTTTGTCTTTTTTCTTCTTTTTCAGTTTGTCTCCCTCTGTGTATTTCTTGAAGACTTCATTGAATCGTTCTCGGGTGTTTGCCCGTTCGTCATTCTCACCTACATGATGAGCGAAAAAAAAAAAAAAAGTTATGTTTTACACACAAATAAAAATAAACAACTCACATGTAAAGCTTTTAGCATGATTAGTAATTAGGTTATTAGTTAAATGAGTCTTACCCGTTGGCATCCTTAAGTACCATGACTTTTCTGATCTCAGTAACGTAGTTGCAAGCCAGAGGGAGTAGCGTTACTTCTAAAATTAGAAAATCTGCTTATTGTTTACTGCTTGCAAAGGATTTCTCGTGGGTGTACAAACAACACACCATGAACATTTTAAAACACGTAATTACCCCAGAACTACCGCGTTCATTTCAACTCCAAAACTGTATTTTCAGATTGAATGGAGCAGAGCTGTCAAGGTTGCACAAATGTTGCACGCTAAGGTTAGCAGTTAGCATGCTAAGCTAACAACCCCCTAGCAACAAAGGCACTAGCCCTGGCAGACAAGACAAAAGGTATCTTACCATTTCTTGGGTGTTTATAAAGACGCAACTTGTTGTAAACAAATCTGTTTTGTTGAAACACAGACGACTGCGTGTTGCTTGTTGTTATCGCGTGCAGTGATTGGGACCCGGGACCCGCTACAACTTCAGCAACGCTGCCTCAGTAACCATGGGAACCACGAAAGAGGCGGAGTCTGAATGCCATGTTTCTGACGTATTACGGAAAAACAAAACCTTTCCACCAATCACAGCCGAGTCCGTATAATATCCTTAACATGACCAACGTGTACTCAATACCATCTCTGCTCACCACACGCCTCACCCTTTACTCCACTCCAGGTGTCTGTTTTCAATGAAAGGACAGGTCAGAAGTGCTCTCCCGTCTGAGAGAAGACGCAGATATGACTTCAGGATTATGTGATTGCTGCTTGTTCTGTGAATGTGCTGCTAATGTCAAAAGTGTTTTTGTAAGCGCTGGACAAAGATTATTTGTGTTCTGCAGAAACATTTTACAGTGTTCTACTTGTTTTGAAAATCCCGAGGATCCTACGGTGCTACAGTTGAATGGTTTGTTATGCCCTAATTTTATTTCTAATGAGGAACACAGATCAATTTTGTAATCTTACATTTTAAAATGATCTTATGCAAATTTTATTTATTTATTTTGTTTTTATTTTTTTAGAAAATAAAAATGAACTATGTAATGACCAAAACCTTGAAACACTAAGAAGACTTGCAGCCTCAGAAAACCCCAAGATGCAACAGACTGCAGCAGAGTATTTTTTAAATCTTAGTAAACACTGTGAGTAAAAAATGGATTGTCATTACAAATAATATATCTACGCTAGATCTTGTATTCCCTATAAAGGATTTCAAACATCTTTTCACTCTTTTCAACTGGACAATGAAAATTAGCAAACTGAATAAAAGGGTGACACAGAACTTTAGTGAATGACAACAGTCTTCTGGTTTGATAAATCCTATACTTTCAGGTGTGACCAGTTCTATGCAAATTGCCAACGGTGTTTGTGCTCTTGTTCAAACAGACAAAAGATAAATGTACTGAACTGGTAGGAGCCTAGGTTGTGTAGTAGTAGTAGTAGTATCTATTTGTTATTCCTACAAATTTGTTAGAAAAGATGAAGTCATTTATGTTTAACACGTTTTATTCATAACTGTAACTGAATTTCAGTGATATCCCCTTTACCTGATCCTTACTTGGGACCTGTCCTCACTTTACTATACTCGCCTGACCTGAAAGTGCAGAAGACCACAGCCATTTCCCTAATCAACTTTTTACTAAAAGACACCAGTAAGAATGTTTTGTGTGCTTTTTGTTTCTATTATACAATTTTTTTTTCTCTTAATAGATAAAATGGGCTTTACTTCTATTGTGTTTACAGTTTATATTGACACAGTGGTTGATATGAAGATTTTGGAGCCATTGATAGAGATGTTCAAATCTGGTGATGCTGTAGCCCAGTGTACATCCTGTGCATGCATAATTATCCTCTCCTCCTCAGGTGTGTAATGAAAATGCATGGGTTTGCAAAACAGGGAATGAATGAAAATGAATGACAATGAATAACAATGAATGACGTGACAATTGTTCAGTTATGTTATGTGCTGCAGAGTCAAAGGCAGATACTATAATGCATGATGGCATCATCCCACTGTTGGCTTTAGCAAAATCATATGATCCACAAGTTCAGCAGGATGCAGCTTGGGCCCTGTTACAACTAACACAGTCAGGTAAGTTCACTGCTCTAGATGCAACACTGACATTTTATATTTACATTTAAAGCTACAACAATGCCATGTCTGAATTACTAAATTATAATTACTGACTAAATTCATACTAAGAATATGTTCGTTCTGGTTTGGGCCCAGTTTAGTTACTTCAGGGTTTAGCCAGTTTAATCCCAGTTTTGATGTGGTGATTGTGTGAAGTGTTAATGCACCAAAAAATGTCATCTAAAACAATGAATGACCAGTGATCACTTCTAACTACACTTGTGCTTTATTATTTCAGAATCTTCAACTAAACTCTTGTGTCAGTGTGGGGCTCTCCCAGTCCTGGTCCTTCTGCTGCAGTCCTCAAACTCAAAGCTTCAGTTTCTCAGCTGTACAGCTCTGTATAATATTGCCTCTGTACAGAAGCTCCAGCTAACACTGTTAAATGCATGTGGCTGCTTTTTAATTCGATCTCTAGTAAATCTAATGTCTTCTACAGTGACAAAGGTATGAATAGAGATATTATTTTATATATATTTTTTAATTCTTCCAATCTTATTTCCACTGTAAGAAAAAAATGTTTTTATTGTTCTCTTTTCAGAATGCAGCAAAAGCATGTCAGTGTCTCCAACTTCTTGCCCACAATGGTAAATATGATAACATGTACTTGTTATGTTAACAGAAAAAAATATGATATGTAAATCAACATTTATTTTCCAGTGCAGATCCAGGCCCAGTTGATGGAACTAGACTGTGTTTTGCCATTGAAAACATTGTTGAGAACTTCCAGTCTAATTTACATTGAACCAGCCTTAACACTGCTGTGCACGATGTCTTCACATGCACCAAATAAAGTACGTATAAAAACTTCTGGATTAGTCCAGAAAACAGAAGGTAATGGCACATATTTTCTCATAGGATGTCTTAGTGGGTGAAGGAGTCCTGGATGTCATTGGCCAACTTTTTTATTGTCAAAACCCCTGTCCCACACTAGTGATATGCTGCTCCAGTATCATCTCTCATTTGTCCAACTCTGACATTGGCCCACAGGTAGAACAGACCAGAACTGGTAGCTGTATATATCATAGTCACTTAAATATTGACCGGGAAATTATGTAATGTAAGTAACATATTGTATTTATGTAGGCTATCACAAACACTATGTGCGTATCAGGACTCTTGACAGCACTTGAAAACCAAAGTATGTCAGATGAGGCTTTGCTCCAAGTGACTTCGTGTTTACAGCAGCTTCTTAACATTGGTAAGTAAACAGATATGGTTTAAAATAGCTCCAATAACACAATTTGACCTGATCTTATTTATCTTACTATTAGGTACTTTAAGATCTCATGTGGTCGCACAAGTTGCATCGGAGCATATTGCAAGGCTGGTGAATTTATCTGAGCCAACAAGAAATCCTGTGTTATCCTGCAAATGTGCTGCTATTTTAAGTAAATTTAAACAGACAGGAAAGCTTCCCCTATTGACTAAATTTTATTAATGAAGGTTTGTACACTACATAATGAATCATAAATTTCAAAAAAAAGATCAGACAGACACATTTGAGACATTTTAAGCAACAGGCATAACTTATAATGTAATGCTTTTATTTAATATTTAATTTACATTTAACAGACTTGCTAAACCATATAGTTATAATGGAACTATACTTTTGTTATAGCAAGTAAATAAAAATAAGCTAAGCACATTTGGTTACACAATGACTTATTCATTAAATAAATTGTCAAACCCTGCTTTTTGCTTTGTTAAATGACTTCATATCAAACCTACAGTGCAATAAATGCTTTGAACTTGACTGGTCTATGTTACCTCTAGCACAACTGAAACTAAGCCTTTGGGAACTACTCCATAGCAGCTTTGAAATAGCACTTGCTTAAGTTATGTAAAAAGATACAATTTAAATATGAAGCAATTCTAAAATGTCTAGTGCAGATAGCAGCAAAAGCTTTTCTTATTCCACAACACTGGGAAGGAAAAGTGCTTAATCAGCAAGAAATACAATATAAGGAATCAGCAAAACACATATGGCTGACATTTTGTGATTGTTACAGTAGCTATTCATTTCAGTGATTATAAAGGAAACACCATTACAGAGCTTTTGCAAATACCCACTGCAATCTACTCTTATGGTTTTGTTAAGCCAAAACCTGGTGAGATGGGAAGGATAGAGAAGGAGTCAGATGCTGTGTTCTGAGTTAAAGGCATAGCAGGGACATGACATGCTCCTGAAGAGGCCTGGAGGCAGCATCCATAGCTCCACTGCAGGGATTCAGATAGACAGCAGCACTTAGCCCTGCAGCTGCTCAGATGACTTCTGAAAGAAAAACAGAAAGAGTAAATACAAGCTGAAATAGATCATGTTTTTGATGTACTGAGCCAGATTTAAAAAGACATAACATTTAAATGGAAATTGAACTCCACATTGGTAATCATGAAAATGGTGAGAAATAATAATTTTTATAATCAATACATTTAATTTATCTAGAACTTTTCAGGAAACTGGATTTCAAAAATTCTTTCTTGTTGAGTCCTCCTTGTACATCAACAGATTTTGAACATCTACTAGTACGATAAACCACTGCTAGCTAGGTGGTTTGGTGTGGTCTATTCTGAAACCCAATGTATTAATATTGCATAGAATGCAGACATCTGCTCCTGACCTGCTCTCTGCTGGCTCTGTATCTCGTCCAATCCAGTGAGAGTTCGCAGAGATCTCCGTTCCTTAAAGGCTACAACCGGAAGCCCCTCATCGTCGCCGTGGAGACCCAGAGTAGAGGGTTTGGTCACGACTTTCACAGCCTCCTCGATGGTGCTGCTGCTCACAGGCTGAGTGTTCTCCTTTGGCTGAGTGGAGATCCTCACTGCTACTGGCTTCTGGAAAAGAAATTGTTACAGTATAAACAAATACAATCTTGCCTTTAACACTTTATGTCCCATTCGTTTGTCAACAGAATGTCATTCATATGGATAATGGATAAATGATGAAAGTCCTCTGACTTTGGCCATTCAGGTTTTCATGTAGTAACAGCTAAAGAAATATGACTCACTTTGTTCCTCTGTATTTTGATCAAATGATAGGAAAAATGAAAAACCTGGAACTGTAATGAAAAAACTAATTAGGCATAATAACATTAGTTCTCCATTTAGTCAAAGACAAACAGAAACTTTTAACATTTGAGAAAATGTAGCCAGTGTTTTCGGTTGATCATAAGACCCCTGCGGCAATTAACTGTCCTTTCTAAAATTGAAAACATTAAGTTTTACCGTATCTGGAGAATCAGTCCTCCTGGTTCTCCTCATGATCTCCTCCAGTCTCTATGAACCAAAACACAGAATTTAGGCAACATGCCATTGTCAAAAACACCACGATTTTCACTTCTGGACAATAAGTTGTAAAAATCTGTCACAAAAACAGTTTACCTCCTTTAGTGAGAAGGAAACCAAGTGAACTTTAATCCTGCAAATCAATTAAAACACTTCCACAGTTGCAACTCTTATGGGGTTTTGGTCTGTGGTGTTCTGTGATATGGTACATGTATAATGTAGTTAATATATGGTCAAAAACAAAAGTTGTTATAAAAATGAAGAATAAATTTGACAAATTATTCTAGCAAAATTTACACCTGTGAGTGCTGTATAATGGGCAGGTGATCATAATATTTTGCTTGAGCAGTGTTAGACATCTTACCTTCTTCCTTGCCTGCCGCTCCACCTCCTCTTTCTGTGCCAGCAGTTCCCTCTCCTGTTTCAGTTTCTCAGCGTTGGCTCTCTCTCTGGCCTGTTCCTCTTCTCGCTGTGAGACACACCAAACATAAAGGATTAACAACAACAACATTCGACTTCCCTCCAGTCATTAGCTCTGTGTTTTTGGTCTCATAGAAATAGCATAGGATATTTTGGCTTGTGATGAGAAGTTCATTCAAAAATGAATTATAAGAGATTGTAAATATGTTATTTATAAAGGTGGGGACCCTATTAGTCCACTGCAAAACATCTACAAAAGAAACAGAGATCATCTATTGTGTGCTCATAATACTTTAAAGAGGCACTATGTAACTTTCAGGTGGGAGCTAGTCCCATTAAGATGTTATTTCTGTTTCTGGAATGTTTCACTTTTATTTTATTTTTGGAGCAGTGAAAAACATGTATTTTTGCTCTGAGCAAGGTTGCTCTGACCTATAACTTGGCCTGGTGACATCACTGGTCTTTCTCCATGGAGATTCATGAATTTAATCCTGTTCTGTGGAATACATCAGTCAAAGCAATAACATCTCTCTGTCGTTAAGCAGATACTGGATCTTCCAACAAAAAGGTTACACACTGCACTTTATGATTGTAAAACATTTTAAACACAACAACAGTATTCATTTAGTATGAGATTTGTCACAATCACAAAACTGATTCTATGTAGTTAGTGTTGGAATTACTTCCCTATCCCAAAGAAAGGTATCAGGAAAGGCACTGAGTGTAAAATTTCTAAATTCCCAAATTTCCAAATCAATATGTGATCACTGCACACTGTGACACTCTGATAAGAAATGTAGTGATAAAAAGAGAAATGAAAAGCACTGTCCTGATGCGGTGTTTATATGACCCCTGTTTTATGTATGACACAAACTATAATGTAGACACTATGTTGTCCAGTAGTGCCATATGTGTCTGTATGACCTGTTTCAGTAGCAGCTGTGCCTCTCTCTGCGCCTGAGCCCTCTCCTCCTCTGCTCTCCTCTGCTCCTCTTCCTCTCTCCTCCTCTTCTCCTCAATCAGACGCTGGGCTTCTGCCTGCTGACGCGCTCGCTCCTCTGCTCTCCTGCGCTCCAGCTCCTCACGATTTCTCCTGCACAAAAAAAAACAAAACATTTTACTATTTCACCCAAAATGCTTGTTTCACTTCTGCTAATTATAACTCATGATTTTAACTGTATTTTTGGAGCAGGTATCAATAAATATAAATAGGACAAAGTTGGACCTTTCCAGAATAGTTTTACAATGGTCATTGATCATTTAGAATTAGTCTAAAACCATGTGATAAAAAAGCTATGGTACTCTACTACTATTTTCCAATAAGAATCAGTTTTTACTATATGAAATAATTTTTAAAATCCTCATTGTGTTATCAGTTGGTATTGGTAAATTGGTATGAAGTATCAAGCAGTTTCATTTGTATAAAACTGGAGCACCCATGCACATAGTGGGACATATTATCTGACCGTTCCTCCTCCTCCCTTTGCAGTTTCTCCTGTTCCTGTTGTTCTCTTTGCAGTCGGGCCTCTCTCCTCTTCTCAGACAGGACTCGAGCCGCCTCCTCTGGGTCTGAGGTCCCGGCTGAGTGCTTGGACCCGATCTCGGGGAGCTGTCGAACTGGACACAGGGGCTGTGTCCAGTGTCCGAACTGGGAGGGACCTGTAAAAGAGATGTACAGTAAAATATCTGCTGCCATATATTTGTGCAGAGCCTTTCAACAACAGGTATTTTGTTGAAGGACATCAAGTCATCAAGATCTTAATATTTTGAAACTATTTAATCCATGCATACCAAAAATGTAATCATTATCTGATTTCTGAAATTATTGGATTATTGAAATATCATGTAAACAGTTAAATCTGATGTGAGTAAGCTGATTTCTTTTTGAATGTTCACACCTGTGCAGGTTTAAAAAAAAAAACATTTCTGCAAAAAAGGCAATTTAATGTAGCATATTTTAAAATGTATTATGCTTCCAAATACAACAGTTAAGTCAACTGATTAACTGACACCAAACATGAGATGTCAATATCGGGTTATCTGATTATTCTAGTTATCTGAGTTTTACTGGCTATGTAAATGTACCCATCTTTAGTCCGTTTCCCTTACTTCCATCTCCGTCTGTTCTGCTGGTCTCTTGGGTCTCTAATATGGCGGACAGGCTGGAGAGAGGAGCTTCGTGTGTGTAGTCTTCACATATTTTCCCAGTGCGACCTTCACCGGACGTCCTGACAGCTCTGATGGTCCTGACTGGCCGTGTGTTACCAGGGCAGGGGGGGTCCAGGCCTGTATCCACCTCCTCCTCCGGGACAGACGGGAGCTCAGGCGGCTGTGGAGCTGAGTGTCGTCGGATTGATTTCCTGGGAGAGCTGTCAACCCATAAAGAGATGACAATGACCCAGTTGTCATAATACTACTAATCTACTGTATATGAATGGTTCTCTACAAATGGGAGATATGCATGGGAGATATCAGTCACAGTGTTCATGTAGAATTTTAAAAGGGCCAATATTACACATATTTTATTTCCTCATCAAAAACAGACTGGAGTTGTATTTTGTTTCATTCACACATTTGACAAACCCTACATATACATATAACCCTACATCATGTGGTCATACAGCAAGTGCGCTAATGTGTTTTTAAAACTTCATACACCCTCACTAGAATCATTTGGATCAGTTCAGTCCTGGAATTGCCAGTCTCTACTGAACTAAAGGCAAAAGGTAGCTGTTAACTTAAAAACTACCACTACAAGGTGGAACAGAGCATTTTGAGCTTTGGAGATGGTGACAGACTAATAATTAAGGGATACTAAAAGATGTATGAATGACACAAAAACACTGTAACATGGCTAAAAGCTCACTACAGTCCATTTTATTTTATGTAATATAGGAATACAATGCATTCAAGACAGGGAGAAAGAATAGGCAATATGACCAAATACTATGACTACCCTGTGTCTTAAGAAAGAAAAAAAATCAATATTAAAACATAAACTAAAGATACTTTTAATTAGGGCCATAAAAATCTTTCTCCAAAGTCTGACCTCTGCTTCAAACCACATGATTTTAGTGACAGAGGATTGACCCGAGCATATACTTTATGATTAGAAATTATTGAACCTCCATCTTGATTAATTGCACAGCCATAGTTGTGATTAACAAGGGAGACAACATTGAACATACCACTCTGGTGAAGGAGACGCTGTCCTACTTTCTTTCTGTGTGGTTGTTTTTGGACTGGGTTTGGCCCCAGGAAATTTGGCATTAAATGAATGGCTCCTGCTCTTCTTATTAACACTGTCCACGTTGGCAGCTTTAATCTACAACAAAAGCAAAGGGAGTCAACACAATTTCTCAATTAGACTTTTCTTTCAGTGAGAGCCATACATTTACAGGTATTACCTATTACTAAATATGTGATTTTTAAACATTTTCAAAACATATAGTATAGTACAATATGGATATTTAGGACCTACCTGTGCCACAGTGGTGCTTCTAGTTTGCAGGTTCTTGGGTCTGGGGGAGGCAGAGGGTCTGGGCTGGGGTTTGTGAGGGGTGGAGGTGGTGGAGATGGAGTGATATGAAACTGCACGACGACAAACATGGACAACTGAACACAATGTTTTAAATGGTTATGAGGAAAATGTGTAATGTGCAAATAGAGGTCAGTGAAAGAAGATGGAAATGAGGAGAAGAATTGTTAGTTTAGTTTTGTTGTCCGTGTTTGGTTTAGTGTAGTTATCCATGCAGCAAATTTCATTTCTTTAAAGTTGTACTGTTATTCCCCTGACATTGACATGCTATTTTATTCTATGAAATTCTTTTTGGAATGAAACCACGTAACAAGGTATAGGCAATACAGGGATGGACCAGGGTGAATTAAATAAACCTAAATGTGAGCATGATTTCAGGACTTATTCGGACATAGCTGAACAAGGGACTGGATGAATAAAAATTGTATAAATCTAGACATAATTAATCATATCTAAGGAAAAGGCAAGGCTCCAGTATTCACATAGCATTACATTATTCCATTATTCCATTACTTAAGATATGGTCAAATTTATCTTGTACATTTTGTTATATTCTTAATATTAATATGTGATTGAGTTAAGCAAGTAAATCAGTCCAAATATTTATAGCCATGTATTAAATCATAACTTGTTCTGGACTAAACCAGAACTTCTTTGAAAACCAGTATAACTCATTAACTTAGTACCTTGCTCCCCTGATCCCTGGCACCCTGCGCTCTTGCTGCGGTTCAAATAGGAGCAGGTGGGGGTGAGCAGACGTGTGACCAGATTTTTCTCCCAAGCCGTCAGTGGCTTTCGACGTGGAACTAGTGCATTGATTAGTGTAAAGTTTTCAGTGCAAGTCCAAAAGTTGAAGATACACACAGTAACTGATTAGGAAAGATGAGGAAAATTCAGAGATAAGAGATAGGAAGAGCATGTAAGACTTTACCATTGGATTTGGTAGGCTTTCTTCCTCTGTTTTGGCTGTTTTGTTGGGCTCTTTGGCTCTTCTCCAGTGTTTTGCGAACTGCAGATTCATATCGCTCCTTAAATTTGGAAAACAGACTTCAGTGGTTTTCAAATTGGTCATTCCAGTCATGAGGCAATTATCACTTACTCTCTCCTCCTGTAGCCTCTGTTTGCGCTTCTCCTCCACAGCAGCACGTCTCCTCTCCTCTCGGTGGCGCTGTTCTAGGAGACGATTCTTGCGCTCCTGCAGCTGTAGTTCATAAAACTGTCTGGCTCTCTGCTCTCGCTCCAATCGGTTCTGCTCCCGAGAGGCTAGGGACAAATCAAGACATGTAGTCATCAGTTTCAGTACAATAAAATCCACAACTCTGAGTAATACAGGGCTTGTTACCTATATTATATTGTATTATTTATTTTAAACTGAAAACATATCTTGCCTGTATCCCTTTGAGACACAGCCAGCCATATGCCTCTTAATAATATGCTACAATGATTTGCATAAGAGTACACAAAAAATACTAGTATTCTCCCTTTACACCTGAGCCTGGTTTTCAACAAATAAGACAAAAACTGCATTCTCTTTTAATTAGTCGAAGTCCAAGTACTAAAATGGCTTTTGACTAAGAATATTGCCAACAAGTTTTAGTACCAGTACTCTACCAGGGTAAGAAGAATTTATATTAACATACTAACCTACTTATGAAGATAAATCTGGACCATATCTCATCAATAATGTAATCTAGTGTTTCTTAAAAAAATATATATTTTGACAGTAGTAACAATTTTTTTCTGGTAATAAAGCGCTAATCATTATTTACCTATAAACTTCTGTTGCTCCTCACGTCTTTCCCGTGCGGCTTTGAGCCTTTCGTCAACATTTAGTCCATTTTGACCTAGAAATAGAACATTTTTCAGGTGAAATTCTTAAAAACATACTTTTACCAAAATAGTATATGTTTGCAACTATAATTAAAATCAAAACTGCTTTTTTCAGTGAAGGAAATAAAATAATAAGATAGGACACATTCACATGCATATTTTTCAAAAGCTTGAGGAAAATCTTCTAATAGAAATGAGGTTATATCCATGACAATAATGTGAGTTGGTTGGCAAAAGAATCTAACCCACAACCTCTTTGGTAATCATTTATAAATGCAGTTATGTTACCAAACCTGTAATAGACCGTGAAGTGACTGTGAGTTGCTCAGTCTTATGGACAGGACAGGGCGCCTTCTGTGGACTTGATCTGACATAAACCCCATTTTCTACAAAGAAAACAACATATAGGCCACATAGACAGTACGCTCAAATATTACATATGCACTGAATAAGCAAAAACAGTTGATATCTTTCATCCAAACAGTGGTTAGCTTTAGCTTTGGGATAGCTTTAGGCTAATCTGCAAATGAAAGAGCTATTATACAGAGTCAGCATGTAAAAGGCAGAAAGAACAAGCTAACACCTGACCAATGATCTAGCACTACTTTAGCATCATAAGTAATTATAAATCACATGGACTCACTCCTTAAGGCTTTCAAATATAGTTAGCTCATATGCAATAAAATCCCAGGCTACAGTGCCATTCTTTTTCAAGTAGTCCAAACCATAACATTCACTTTTATTAGCAGATATTGTTTATTTATATCCTCAGTAGCATCTGCAGCTTTCTCAGGTCCTTTTAAATTAAAATTATGATTCAAATTCATATAATCCAATTCATAATTATTAGCAAATGCTCATAATTTGCAGTCATTCAAACAAAAATAATGGCATCTTCTACATTTACAGATAAGCCTGCTTTTTGCTTTCAAGTTAAACACAGTTCGGGAAATGCAATAGAAGCGTAATGTGTAATTTTCACATCTTAATTGCCAATATATGTATTCATACATTTGTTTATAGTAATATAATATGGGTATAGGCCTACAGTGCAATCATGCCATCAAAATACATGGACTGCTACTCAATTAAAATACTATCATATTCTAGGTCAATGGGCATTTTGCAAATTGCCTACGTAACAATGTAAGCGTAACATCTGGTTTAAAGCAAATATGATTTAGCTCTTACAACTAAAATGAAGTCAGTGATAAGTCTTTACCTCGATCAAAATGTTGTGGTTATGTTCAGGTTAGACATGGTTTAAGGATGTAATTCTCTTCTATTTTTAGTGCTTGTTCCTGGTTCTGTAACGATCATGTTCTAGAGTTAATCTTGTTTAAACACACACTATTACTCTAAATCTAATCCTAGTATAGGTTTGTTATATCTGATTCATATGGACCATCATACACATCCACATTTGACACATCCCCAGGTATAATTCAGTGAAACCTATTGTTGTGTAATAGACTAACTGTCATACCGTAGCCTTGAAAACATATACAAAATGAACACATCTTATTGTGATCAGCTTTATAGTACACACTGTATTTAAGTCCTACGTCACCAGCACAGTCAGATGATTCACTGTGTATGCTCTAGCTCCAACAATGCAAATTTTTGTATCAGGCTAACAGAACATTAAAATCCACTCACCTCTGGCTCTCTGGGGGGGAATGGCCTTCCTCTGGCTCTCGATGGTGCGTGTGGAGAGTGGTCCCTGCGATGGAGGAACAGCACTCTGCTTCTTCTGCACAGCCATGCTAAGGCTGCTATGATGCTATGAGGCAGACGTACCGATGCTCGCAGTCCAAACTCCCCCTCCCCTCTCCTCTTTTCTCTCTCTCTCCTCCTTCTTTCCTCATCCCCTCTCTCTCCTACTCCTGGTTTGAAATGCTATTTTGAGAAGCCTTGGGGGTTTCGAAATGGAGATCTGCTTTTTGCATCAGCAGCCTGTCCATCTGATTACAGAACCAAAGCAAGAGAAATCACAAAAACAATAAGAAAAACAAACAACAAAAACATAAAAAGCTAGCCTATCTGGATTGTTGATATCAATTTGTTGTTCTTGTTATGGGGAGACTTATACACACTTCAACACTGCTTGTTTAAACCAGGAATGAGCCAATAGACGAACAAACCAAAACAGTCAAAACTGTATAGTGGCTATATTGTATTGTGTCTTTACTAGGGGTGTGACGATATCCAAGTCTCACGATATGATATCATCAAGGTATGAATCATGGTATGACATTTACTGCGATATTGTGGGAAAGGTCGCAATACTGTGGGGAGGCTCATGATCCTGGATGTAACAATATCCAATCATACAACAATAACAATAATAAATAATAGCCTTGTTTAGAGACTTAATCCAAAGAACTAAGACTTAAAAGTACTTAGAACTGTTATTTCTTCTTGTAGTCTACACTGAAATAGAGCAAAGGATCATGGTCTATGTAGTTCCATCTGTCTTTTTTCAGCTATTGCTACACCATAACTCTTAATTTAAGCAAAGAGACTTGTAATTCGATATATTGTGATGGTCCACAATATTATTGTGAGAACTCTGACGATACGATATCACGATATTTCGGTTATTGTTACATCTCTAGTCTTTACATTATCTTAGTTTGGTGAGGCTGCTGCTCAATTTGCGGGTATCACCTTTAATTCTCATCCTACATGTACCAACACTGGCCACAAGATGGAGACATTTGTTATCTTTCTTTTCACCAGTGAAACAACTCGGAGGGTAATACAATTTTATTTTGATTCTTCTAAAATGTAAACTTTAATACTACTCAACTTATTTTAACAGATCCATGTACTCAACACGTAAACACATTTCCTGATGCAATATACAAGAAAATAGGGCCAATTTCACTTAATAATTGCTAAGCCAATATGTTCATTTTGTCTTCTTATGTACTTTAATTTCTTGGGTTCTTTTTTAAAGACAACATAGTACAGTGTATTTACTTTGTTGACATATTTCGGCTGTTAGCAGAAGATATCTTGCAGCTAGCAGCCAACAAACATGTCAACAAGGTACATACACTGTACTAAATTGTCTTTAAAAAGAACCCAAGAAGTTAAATCACTTAATTGCTATTTTCCCCAATGTCGACACGTAGGCTACTGTTGCCCCCTACTACCTGAAAGTAAAAGAGCTAACAGATCACAATACGAATTTTGACAGAAATCTCTAAAACGGCAAACCGCTCTTACCTGACTGAAGAGACGCGTGTCATTTTGGGAAGCACCGTGTACTATTCCACAGAAAACACTAGAGGGCGCTGTGTGATCTCTGTAACCTTAGTTTGGACTGGAACGTATTCTCTTATTTAGCAGCGGCATTGCGATGATTCTATATAGTTACATACGACAGAGAATGAGTGTGGTTCTACCTTATGCTGCTATTCAGGCCTTGGTAAACTTGCTTGTACGTAGTTAATTTATATTATATTATTAACCCTATTTATAATGTAGTTACACAAGGATAAAGACATTTAATTTTAAAATAGTTTAGAACAGACATGTCAAACTCAGGCCCAGGGGCCAAATTTGGCCAACAATACAATTATATTTGGCCCATGAGATCATATCAAATATGTATTAGAGCTGGCCCTCCGGCTACAGAGAGACATTATTTATTTAAAATGTAGTTATTAAATGTTGTTATTATTTTATATTATGCTTGTTCTGGATTCAGTGTTTAAGCAAAACTATTATTAAACATTTATTTTAATTTTAAGTAAAAATGTAACATTACATATCTTGAAAGAAGAGATCAATTTCAATACATATTTAGACTTAGTCAAAGTTTTTTATTTTGTCCCTCTGTGAATTTGACTTTGACACCCCTGGTTTAGAAGGTATCCACTAGAGGGGAACAGAGTCTCTAATGTATTTAACAGAAAAAATAACTTTGCAATACAGTAACTTTAAAAAAAAAAAAAAATTCATTACTTCTGTCTTACATTCCAAAACCCTAGGTTGCATTACAGTTCCACTATGATCTGTTGATTTCAATATTGACACAGTGAGACACATTGAATTCAAAGTAAAACATTATTTTGTGTGCTTTATTATTATTATGACAGGACAGGTGTGTTTAATCGCAGCAGAGAGACTCTTATTGTGGCGGGGCGGTTGGCTGTGGGCCCATAATGCCATCCAGCCACTCAGTGTAATGGGACACTATGGTGTAGATGCCTGGTTTCCTCATTTGACCACACTTTATCCCTCCATTGGACACGATTCCCACCACAACACCTTTGAAGAGCAGAGGACCCCCAGAGTCACCCTAACAGAAAAAAATCAGGACATAAACAGTTACTTTTATTAGTGAGTTAGAATATATGGTGATTTCAGTTTTTAAAAATTACTGTAGTTGCCATTACAGTATAAACCTGTACGTGTAAAGTACTGCTAGTATAGGAAGCAGTAGTTGCGTACTGGGTGTCATCACCAGGACTAAACTAGGACTGAACCAGTACTAAATCAGGATTAAACCAGTACCAAGCCAGGTCTAAAGAAGAACTACTTAAATTATGACTAAACCTAGGCTATACATATAGGACTTAACCAGCACCAAACCAAGACTGAACCAGAACCAATTTACAGCTGAACAAGGACTAAATTTGATATAACTAAACAAGGATTAAACCAGAACTCAACCAAGATTTAACCAGGACTAAACCAGTGGCACACTCACATCGCAGGTGTCCATCTTCCCCTGGCGCCTGCTCCCTGGTTTGTCATACACATGGTGGGCACAGATCATGTTGCTGGTGTATCTGGTCCCAAAGTAGTCACTACGCCGACAGAGCATTGGGTTGACCACCTCCACTGTGACCTCCTTCAGCTTGTCTGGTCTGGAACCCAGGTTATCAGAGGCTCCCCACCCCGCCGTATCCACCTGCTCATTTGTGGTCGGGTTAGTGCCTCCACTGCGCAGGAATTTCACCACTTGGACCGCATTGGTGATGTTGACCGGACGATCCAACTGAAAATAAATATTATAAGTTATGTTTTCTAGTTTAGGTTTGGTTCATTTTGGTTTCAGCAGGGGTGTAATGGAAAATTGGGGGGGGGGGCTCTTTTTTTGCATTGGGCCCTGGGTAAACAAATACTTTTTAACCCCCTATTTTCATTTTCTTGTTCTGTTTTGTTATTTTATAGTAGTTTATTCTGATGTGCAGGATTCAACCAACTTCTTTTTTCCACTTCAGTAAATATTTTCATATCTAAGAACAATTTAATGAACCAAATAAAGAAATAATATAATGATATAAACTATACATGGTGAAGAAGCATTTGAGTTCAAAACTATACACTAATATATCTAAACTGTGCTCTGTTATATTAGAACTTTTCAAAGCTGCAGCAATTCTTGTTTCATTACATTACCAGAACAAAACACCCCTTTAAAATCAGAAACAAAGATAGAAGACTCAAATGCCCTTACCTTGATCAGAGCGATGTCATTGTCAAAATTCTCTGCTCTGTAGTTTGGGTTTGAGTGGAGCTCCATAATCTCAAACACTTGTTGTGTGTCCTCAGTCTCAGTCACCGAATGCATTCCCAGCACCACCTTTCTGTTATCCGTACTGAAACAACAACACGAAAATAGACTAAAAATACAAAATATGCCCTGGCACATTTATCACATTTAAAACAACTATTAGCAAATGTTATGTGGCAAATTATTCTTGCAAATGAGTTCTTCACTTCACCTATATATGGTAAACAATTCTTGGTTACATTTTTATTGAACTGAAACTTTAAAATAACCCCATCTTACTTAATAAAGCATGACCAAAAATTTAGTAACCACTTAATTAGCAGTGAGGATGTTAATTAAGCAGTTATTAAGCCTGAATTATTCTTAGTAAAATATTTGTTGCCTTTTCGTGCTTTATTAAAGGTGCACTGCGTAATGTTTCTGATAGAGGGTTCACCACCTGCTTGAGTCCATGTTGTTTATTTCCTGAAATGTTGCACAGTGTGCCATTTAAATTAACTATGTCTATAACTAACTATAGAAACATGCAGGCTACACCACCAGGCCAAGTTACAGGTCAGCTCTGTGGAGAAATAGACCCACTCAGAGAAGTAATGCATGTTTTTGCTGTAGTTTTGTGTGTAATTGAATTAATATAAGATATATTGTTTAATGGCATACTGTGCAACTGTTGGACTTGTTTACATGTGTCTCACCCGTGTGGGAAGCAGTGCACAGCGGTCATGACCCACTGGTTCCCCACCAGGAAGCCCCCGCACTCATGAGTCCTCGCCTCTCCGTCAAAGCGCTGGATCGACGCCATGTACGGCCGAGAGTGAGCAGCCGCTTCATTACCGCCTAAAATACCCTCACCTGCACAACACGGTAATGGAGGGAATAGAATAATACTATAAAAACATATATACATAAAGATTTTTATATAACACTTTTCCATTTTCAAGGCAGTCAAAGCGCTTTACATTAAGGAACCACTCACCCATTCACACACACATTCATACGCCAGTGTACGCAGATGCGAAGAAGGTTAAGAATCTTGCCCAAGGACATAACAACAGTATTCATCTGTGCTGCCAGCCTGTGGGTCAGTGGATCTAACCACCCAACCCATTATGTATGTCAAGAGTGAGATTCGTACCACCAGTGAACAAACTCTACCAAATGATTTGTTGCCCAGTTATCGTTAGATCAAATTTTTCTTTCTGCTAACCAACTTTTTACATTTTTGATGCCATTTATATAAAATAATTAGTGATCATTTTCAGATTTTTATAATTCTGTGTTTACTTTTTACTTTTTATTTGATCTAACCTGTAGTTTACTTTTAAGTGTGAAAAAGATTTCTGTAGATTTAGTTACATTTGATTTATTGTACAACAATTTTAAAAAGGCATGAAAACAAGGCATTTTCTCCCATTACAGTCCACAACTAAGACATATAAATCACAAGAAGAAGAGATAAGAAGGAATTATTTGATACTCTCAACATGTTATTTATAATAAAACATTTTCTACTTACTCTGCGAAATGAGAGCAAAGATACAAACTGCAGCCACCGCAAGCATCTCTCCCTTGGACCCCATCATGTCCAACTAACCCAAAAACTGTAGTAAGTGTGTTTTTTAAGGACATTCACTCAAAAGAGGAAGTTATGGAGCATCCTTCTTCTTCTTCTTTATGCAACAACAGGAAAACACACTTCTGCCTGTGAGAAAGCATGTTTTTCACCATGTCAAATTCATTCACTTTTATGGCCTCCTCAGTGTTTATCTGTATTGTTGACAGTGCTTTGTTTGTGTTGAATATCCATTTATGACATAACAAAACAAATATTCAAACCTCCGAATGTTCAAATCTCCAAAGCCCAGGAAGACAGGAAAACATGTGTTTTAATCTGAGACATCAGCAGAAAACATGCTGACACGTCAACATGAAAAAATGTATTCTTATGTAAGTGTTCGTTGCATACATACATACATGCAGAAGTGAAAACATGAAATAAATTGCTTTACATCACCAAGTATGAAAATGGCTTATTATAAAACAGGCTTTGTTATGAAATAAATGCATAAATACACATTCACTGTGTTAATTGTAGTTTCCAGTAGTGTGGTTGTCCTGATATTCCCCTTACCCTTTATGGAAAATATTTACGGGATATGAAAATATCCCAGGGACCCCCTATGGCCCTCTAGCCACGCTGGCACCACCTAGTGCCTCCACTCAATTTAATTTCTCTCCAGCGACTAGGTCAGGAATTGGAATACACTAGACGATTTGCAAGAACCCAAGAAGTGCGAGTCCGGGCACCAGCCAATCAATGAAGAGCCAGACATTCTGTGTTGGCAACGATTCCCGAGATTGAGGATTTAAAGCCAAAATAAAGAGAATGTTTGATGAATTTTATCAAGAGGAAAGTTATTGCCCTTCTTCCTATGGGATTTGATGCATTACATACATCACAACCAAATAGCAGCAATTGATTAAATAAAAAAAGAACCCACCTACTGTCGAGCGAACGAATCCTAATGCTGTGAGGTCAGATGGTCTCCATGAAGTGAAACCGGCTGATGAATCAGGCTAATGGTCCTCTACAATGGCAACGCAAGAAAATTCAGATTTTCAAGCCATTTCTATAACCAAATTTGACATTAAAGTTGAATTAATTAAAGATCAATTTCTCATTATTCTTATTTTATTATTAAACTTTGTATAAGATTGATTGATTGTATAAGAAATTGCAGTACTTAAGTAATGATCCGTATTATCAGAATGTTTATAATGACACTTTTTCAAAACTTCTGAGAGCTTACCAGAAGAATATCCCTTACAATACGCAAAATTAAATATTGTTTTTAATAATTTCCTATACCTAAAAGCTCTCTGTTCAGGGGTACTTAAGGCCTTATGTAATTTACACTGTGATAATGGCTCCCCTCTGCAGGACTTATATGAAGTGAAAGTTGCATAAAAATCAAGCTTAAAGGTCCTATAATACACAAAATTGATTCTTTTGAGCTTTAAGCCATGTTAGAATGTTGTTATGTCTAAAAATACCCAGAGTTCTGTTTTATTTCATTTGCACATGTTTGTGTAATCCTTTATTATTAGTCTACATTCCCAAAGTTCAAAATGTTCCACCTTGTGATGTCATGAAGCAGGTTGTTTCACATTAACAGCTCCTTTTACCTTTAGTTCGGTGGAGATCTGCAGTTCCAGGTCTGAAATTATCCAAATTAAACTTGTGCAGGTGAATAGTGAAGGTGTATGGAGTTTAAAAACATGGTGGAGTACTTCCTGTATTACAACATGACATCACAAGGTGGAAGTGGAGTGGAGTGTTTTCCGTTTGAGAGAAGAACACAGCCTAACTATGCAGGATTTGTGTGTTAATGAAATATGTTTCATTATTATTAAGAAACAACATTATAACATAGATCAGAAAATAGGTCAGTATAGACCCTTTAATTTACTGTTTTTTTACTTTAAAATTTCTATCACCTAATGGTATTAGCAATGTTATTATCCTTTTAAAGTAAATGTAAACTGCCATTGTCGTCATAATCCTGTCAAGTCTATCTCATATTTGCATACCAATAGCACATGTCAATCACACCACTTTATTACAGTGATGCGCAACAAAGCCGCCATTGTGATCAGAGGTGGTGTTTAGAGCTTGTAAACCTTGGCATGAACCGTATCCTAGAGTTGCTGTTGCCGCGGTGACCAAGACTCCACCTCACCTGTCCCGGGCCCACCCAGGTGTGTGCTCCGCGTGTGTGTGGTCTGGCACCCAACCAGTTATCACAGTCATTTTCCACATTATGAATCTCAATTACTGCTCCTCTGCCACTCTCTCTCCACCCACCTCACTCTCTCTCCCCTGTCTGAACTGCTGTCTCTCGTCCCTCGATCGTCCGTTCATTCCCAGACTATGACTCAGTTTCTGTGTGTCTGGCTGCCGCTCTGTCCATCAATCACTCAATGCCTTTAACTTTTAATTCATCTTTGATTTAGTGATTTCATCAAAAGAAGAAAATATGGATGCGTTTTTTGTGATCTGGTTATCAAAAGATTTAATCCAAGTGCACACAAGGAAGACTGTTTATTATCAGTGTTTGTTGAAGACTCTAAAATATATGGATAATCTATTCTTAACAAGTGAACAAGTACTGGATTAAGCCTTGTCTAAACTAAAGTAAACTAAATCCACATGTCAGAACCTGTTAATGTTACAGTTCATTTCCTCATATCTTTGCATTCTTTTGTTTCTCTTCTTTTAATTTAAAGCATAAGAATAAAAAAAAACAAAAACAAAACTTTGATCTCCTTTTTTGAACTGTTCTCATGTATTCTTGTAACACAGTATAAGTTTACTTTGATTACACATATTGTAGTGGTGATTTGTCTTTAAAAGAAACATAAACCAGCTCACAACAAAGAAATAAAAAATCTGATTGTCGCAGAGTCAAAGGGGTTTAATCAGTAAAACAAATGAATCTCCAAAACACTGCATGAGTTTAAAGTCAAGTTTAACCAGACATGCACTCAGAAAAATATATGTGCTCTCCTCTCCCCTGGGACCCATTCATGTAGTAAGTAGTAGTAAGTAAGGCAAACTAGACATAATCATATTTCCAGCGCCAAATGACCAAAAACAAAACAATCTAATAATGATGATCGTGTTCATGTTCAGAGTGGTGGTCTGTGGGCCCCTCCCATAGTCCTGGTGTGATGTTTGGTGTTTCCTCTGAGCACAGGTCTGTGAGAGCTGCTCCTCTCTGGGACCTCCACATCCACATGTGCTCTTTAACTGTAATCTGCCTGATCCACTGGATTACTGCGCCCACAGTCTCACACAGAGATGTGAACACTTACAGACATTATGAAAACGCAACATGGGAAAAAGTCATGATTAAGTGGCATTCTCAAAAGGGTAATTACAGACTTCAACCTCATTTTGTGTTATGCGTGTGAAGATGAGAACGATGTCTTATAGTTAATATTGCTTTTTTGTGTGGTTGGTAAGTAGCTCAATTTCCTCTCAACTTGGCTCTAAGTGTATATTTGATGGCCCCAAGACAATGCAGAATTTGTCTCATCTCCAACTGTCAAAATGTCAATGTGGTTTAGGTGAGTTAATTAGAAATTACCTTTGAGTTCAGGAGGTGAGGTGGAAGATGAATTAAAGGATAAACACTATTATTTTTATATAATTATTTTCTCAGTTAAATAGTTTAAGACACAACCATACGTCCAGAATTATGAATCTACTTCCAAACTCTATCCGTTCTTATAGGTGCCCACATGTGACTGTCTCCTACTCTCCCATCCTGCTCTGGTGAATCCTGTCTAATCCACCGTTGTTTGCCAGAGTCTCTCAGATATTTGAATAACCGTGAGTGTGTGAGACCTGCCAAATTTCACTGAAAAAAACGACAAGTTTGAATCCGCCTGTGAGTGTGCGAAACCCTACCTGTACAGTTCTCAGCAGCAGTGCAGCTCCACATTATTGTCTATGGGACTGCATATTTCACATTGCGTCAGACATCGCATTTCCCAGGCTAGACTCAAGCCGCTAATGCTAATATGGACTTTTAGATGACGGTGGTCTTGGGGGGAATGAGAGGGAGATTCCAGGTTTCCCACAATGCTCCTTGATCCACCTGACTCCGACCATAAGCTGCCTTTTGTCACTATATCTGCACAGACATCTTCATGTTTGCTCATCCAGGCATTGTCAGATGAGAACCACAAGAACAAAAACCACTGTCCATATTCCCACTGTAATAGTTAAATAACACTAGTGTTCCTCTCTTTTACGAACCTTAAAATGTCTTAAAGCTAAATCTTCTAAAACCCTGTGTAAATATCAAAGATTAAATAGACGATTGACTGGAAAACACAGGCTTTTGAGTAATTATGGGAAAAGCTATGGGTCCACTAGATGTTTTGGAGTTTCAGAACAACACTCAAATTCAGAAAAGCATTTTAGGTTTTTACAATATTGAACATGTAAGTATTTGTTGCTAGCTGTTTTCTCTAACAAGTTGAGTGGAAATTGTGATGCCAAAAAACAGAGATTATGTAATGCACAAAACGGCAGGGCAATTTGAGGAGAGTAACAGCCCTCAGGAAAAAGGTGTCCCTCCAAACTCTTTGGATACAACAGGAAATGCTTTTAAGCCTAACTCTTATTTAACTGTTTCATTTGGTGATGAGATGGAATATTCTCTCAAAGTAGACTTAGACTTTATTGATGCACAAGGGAAGTTATTTGGACACAGTAGCTCACACATCACAATAAATATAATAAAATCCAAAATATAAATGATAATAATAAATTCTAATAAGACATAATTATACAAATGTATATAGAAGTAAAAATTGTACAAGAGGTGGGTAAGAAGGAACAGAGCAAAGATGAAATGGTGATTGAAATGACATAATATAAGATTTTCTAAGTTAGTTATTGTACAGTTGGAGTATAGGGTAAATGTAGTTCTTTAGTGATCTTTTCTATGTTGTCAACCATGTCCTCCTCTCCTGTGTCCTCCCCCTGTCATGTCTTAGCCCTGTGTGTTCTGATGGTGAGTGTGCTCCTTTAATGAGGTGTGTTTGAAG